TATAGTGAAGGTGAGGGAAGCAATGGGTTGGCAATCTTGGGATGAGGCACAAGAAAGAATAGGAGACCAAGCAGAAAGGATTGATTGGTTGATTTTGTTTTTTTATAGATTATCAATCTTTTGAAGGTTATTTAAAACCAGAAAACATTTTTTGCTTTTAAGAATTTTTTTTTTTTTTTTTTTTTTTTTAGATAATAATTTAGTGATACAGGTTTTACTAATTAACCCATATCTGGGGGGAGAGAAGTGGAGGATCCATACTTACTAAGGATATTTGCATGTAAGTGGATATAACAAACCTGCCACCTGCACATCCAAGACTACAGGCCCTGGTATTCCCAAGTGGTCACCTATTTAGGTACTGACCCTCTACAAAATATCTCCACTCTGCCCCATCCTCTGTTGCACTTCACCCAAGGATTATCAGTTCATTAGTCATTCACCATATTGTTGCTTAACCAGAATTTCAACTTGATATGACAGCAGAGTGTAGACCTTATGTGCCCCAAGGTAGCAGACAAGACCCAACAAAAAAAATTATATGCATAAAAAGGGGGTAACTTTAGTTGGGCCCTTTTCAGAAAATTTTCTCATTTCATAAAATTCATTTATGTTCTCACATCACACAGACAATTTTTAAGTTGTCAAACAGATATGAATCTATTTTGAAAAACTGACTATAATTGAAAATAGTTATTTTCAGTTTTTGACTGATCAACAGTTCAAAATTTTACAATGTAGACCAGCTACCTTAGCTGTGATTGAGCCTTGTCCTCTAGTTAACTATTCCTCTCCTCCCAAATCAGTAGATTCCAATAGGCAGCAGGGGGTTTGTCAAATGTGCTAATGGACAGAACCATTTCATTCAATATATATCCCAGCAATTTCTACTTAATCAATTTTTTCTTTTCTGCCTTTTGGTCTTGGGTCACATTTGTACTTTTGGTACAATAAATACCTTCTCATCTACCTGAGGAGGTTATATGAATTGTGGCTTCTGTTCTTGTTATACTTACCAGCAATTGGCCTCATCTTTTTCAATTCCATTATAATCTGTTTCCATTGATCTTCAATTCCATTCTCAATATTTTGGAGGTTCTGAAGAGCATAGAATCACCTCTTAATTACATTTTTATGGTAAAATGACCAACAATAAATCTTATCTGTAGTTGAAGGCATAAAATGGTGTTCAAAATATTTAGATTTTGGCATAAACCATAGAGGTTGATATGCTGCTAAACAAAATCAACCAACCAAAACATTTGCATCATCCTTTACAATTTAAAACACTAGTTTATGGGATTGAGCTTTCATGAGTAAAGACCAATAAACCAGTTTAATTTTTTTTTTAAAATTTTATTTAATATTATGACTTTGTAGTAATGTTAATTTTTATTGTTACTTTTTACCTCTTATTCTTGTTTTATGAAATCTATTTTATTTATTTAATATACCTGTTGTGTGCATCCAAATTCTTCTATTTATCAACTTTTTTTTTTTTTTTTTTTTTTTTCAGTTCATGTTAAATGGTACTAATTTTGGAGCAGTATTGTTTGTGCCAGACTCCAAAAAGTCAATGCAATTTGGACTTATGAGTAGTGTTCTTCCAAATGGGACAAAATTTAATAATTCACCGAAAAATGTTTATGAAGCTTTTAAAAGCTGTGAGTACAATTTTCTTTGAGCACGTTTTCTTTTAATTTAATATATATATATATATATATATATATATATAATGTGTATGTCATGTTCCATACAACATTGGCAATGATGGCTCTCTACAATTTCCTGTCCTTTGTAGTTTTTAATAAATTTTGTTTTTGTTGATCTCTTCTGAACTTTGTTCAATCATCTGTTTACTCATGCTCACTAGATAGGTTATACATGTTTTTTCTTTGCCCACTTGCCTTAAATCTGTCCTATGAGTATCAAAGTTTCCAAGCCTTCTTTCCTCATTATTTGCCAAAAAATTTCAGCTGTTTCTTAAAAGTTCCTAGAACCTTTGTTTTTTATGTTTTTTTTTTTTTAATATATGCCATGTCCCATCATAATGTGGGTGATCACCGTCCTCCACAACTTCCTGCCATTTGTAGCTCTGTTTCACCCTTTACTATACCTCTCAGATTTTTTTCTGCCATTAAGTAGGTTATTTGCCTCTATCGCATTTACCTTTAGTATGTCTTAGGAGTGTCAGTTTCTCCAAGCCCTTTTTCCTCATTGTCTCTATTGTTATTCCTTAGATGTGTCCAATCAACTTCAAATGTCTTTCTTTTTACAAGTGTCCTTTCTGTTTTCATTTTCCTTAAGTCTTCCTTATTACTCACATGTTTCATCCATGGTATTCTCAGCATCCTTCTATAGAACCACATAACTGTTGCTTCAAGTCACCTTTTCATCTAAGCAGAAATGGTTTAAATTCATTGTGGCAATAAATAGCAGTTCAGCTTCTTTCTTTGTTTCTAATGAAATTTTCTTGTTTCTTAATACTTCGTATTTCTGTGCCACATTTTTTTGATCATCTTGTTTCTTAGATTCTCCCTTTTGCTAATGGCTATATGATTAATGGTTAGTCCTTTCACATATTCTTTCTCACTCATTAACCCCTTGTGTTTGAGTGGCTTTATTGCCTTGCTTTGGATGAGATGATTAAAAAAGGGAATGAGTTTGATTCAACACTGTGGATGTAGTAAGGTGGGTCTTGGCTGATGGCACTAACAATTGGAACTTGTCTCAATATTTGTCATTCAGTCCCTTCCCCACTTTCATTTTACAGCATCTTGATTGGTGCTGGTGACAGAGACAATATTTTATTTCACAAAGAATAAGCATTTTGGATTAACAAGCCCTCATCTATAATATTCAAGACTGACATTGTGAGACTTGAACAAGATATTTACATTATATGCTAACTATTGTCCTCATCTTTGTCATTATCAATTTTTTGGCCATTGTACCCTCCTGCCTTTATCAGCAGATCCAGGTAATCTTCAAAGAACTTTGAACTGGTCCCTTTATTTGGTGCTACTATAGTATATCTACCGAGGCATTTGTGATTTACTATAAATGACGATGCATTCATTATTGCTGGAAAATGCTCAGGAAAAACATGACCTGTTTACTGTTTTTTTAAATGATGTCAAATCAGTTTAGAAACATTAAAATCACTTTTTTTGTATAAAAAAATTGTTAATAATTTTTAATACATAAGTTAACTGTTCACTACCTTTAAGCCCAAACCTCTAACCTCAACATATTTCACATTTCCAGCAGTCAGTAAATATTATACCATAGTAGAAAATGGATGATAGATAGGCTACTATAGTAGCACCTTTTATTTAATCTACAGGGAGGGTGGTAGATTATTCTACTGTCTCTGTCTATGGATATCTCAGATAATTCTGACTTAATACTGCTCAGTTATTGCTTGCCCTATTTAAATAAAAGTTAGATGAGGTATCCCTAGATGTGGTCAGCAGAAGAAGAATAATCTACTCCCATAGATTAAATAAAGGGTTCAGTTCAGAATTTCAAATGGAAATTCACTGATGGTTACCCAGCTTGATAAAGGATGGAGAGAACAACAGCCAAAACATTGTGATATTAACAACAAAGATGAGGACAATAGTCTACATGAAAATAATAACTCCTTGTTATAAACGTGTATGATTACATAAGAGAAAGCCACAAAATACTGCTGATGAGGTGAAAAGAAATGTTAAAATAAAAGTCTTTGTATTGCCATTATAGAAAATGGAATGTCTCTTCGTGGGCAAGGGAAACCACTTTGAGGATGTGTATTTGGTAGGACCTGGCATTGATGCTTGCATCAGGTCAGTTGACTAAGGTCATTGCTGTTAAGGGTAACGGTCTTCCTGCTCAACTGTGACGGATTTTTTTTTTTTGGTACATGACTCAGCATTTTTTGTCTTACTTTTGATTTAGTAACAGTGTTTGTTATTCTCCTTTTAAATTGTATTTAATATTTTTCTTGTTGGTTTCACTTTGATGGAGAATGACTGGAAAACACCAATTTATTGGCTGAAGCACACAAATGCATGCTGGGATTTCTTCCCATCCAATAAAATAGGCTGGATCTCAGTGTCATCTGACTCGGTCTCAGTCTGTCTTGTTTTGAAGTCAGAATGCTACATTTGCTTGTCCAAACTTGCTTTTGTGTCTCAACCCCAATTCTTAGTTTGTGAACTTTTTCCCATATTACTGTTAATTTGTTTTGGACATATTTCTTATTTGTTTGCTTGCTTTATATTGTTTTTGGCCCTGTCCTTTTCATTTTCTTGTTATTGCTTATTCCAAACTTTGTCAATTCTATTTGTTGGACAGTTCTGTTACTTATTTTACATTTGACCATGGCTACTCACTCCACATTTCTTGTGAGGATATTTGTTTTGTGAGCCTGATGTGATCTTCAGAGCCCCTGTGCAGAAAGGGATTTATTTTTAGTTCTGCTTTCATAGTGTTGACATTCAGCCAACAGGTTTTGGTGTGGAGTGAATCAGAAAGCAATCTGCTTTGAAGCAGGGCATAATACCATAGAAAGTCAGGTAGAAATTGTTCAATGTATTTTAAAATGATTTGTAGCTTTTAAAATTTATTAAATGTAATGCATAATTTGGTTTGTTCATTGTTTTTGTAACTGACATTGTCTTTCTCTCTCTCTATCTATCTATCTATATATATATATATATATCTATATATATATATATATATATATATATATATATATATATATATATATATATTTACATTTATATTTTAGGGAAAGTATCAAGCCAAAATGATTCGCTGTTCCATTATACATCTGACAAAATTTCACTGTAATCAATTCAAATGAAGTGGATTTGAATCAGTTTCAAGAAGTCATCACCAACCTGACACGACATCTTAACAGTAATAAAAACAAGTCCAAATCAATGTGTGGGCAAGGAAAAAAGCATTGTGAATTAGAATTGCTTTTGAAAAATACAACCACTATTCTGAACATGGAGAAATCTCAAATTGAAAACCAGAAAATTCTTGGTATGAATTTTTAGAATGTTTTATTTAAAGACTAACAATGTAACATTGCAAATAGATTTTAGAAATAAATATAATGAAACTTTCAATTTTCATGCATACATCCATCAAGGGATTCTCCCGTCAAGGACAAGGGTTTAAGGTTTAGTAAATTCTAAGTTTTCAGTGAACAAACCTACACAAGTGAATTGTTTAAAATGGTCAATAACTTGTGCTGCACAATGCACACTCTCTGTCATATCACATTGACCTGTACTGATGCACTGTCTGTAGCATCAGCTGATATGTAACAATCACAGGCTTTGTTTCCATCTTGGGGCATGCTGGCTCCTACAAGAATCTCATCAACCTTTGTCAACCCTCCACAAGCTGGTTTGAATTCAGTTTTCCTTCTTGTAGATTCACTGCCAATTAAGGCTATAGAGCCCAGTCTGTTCTACTATTTAACCCATATCTGGGGGAGAAGAGATGATTTTATACCTTTCCCAAAGGCATTTGCATGGAATTCAAAATCTACTCTCCAATTTCTTACAAGCCATCCATTATACTACATGGACACCCACGCTTATATATATATATATATATATATATATATATATATATATATATATATAATATATACGTATGTATGTATATGTATAATCTGTCAAGAGGCCAGAAAAATACCTTACCAAAAAACGTATGTATAAAAAAAGTGCTCAATGCAGCTGCCTTGCAAAAGACATGCAGAGCAAGTAAATATAATAAAGGAGTAAAAACACCTTGTATAATCACACACTACCTTAGTTTTAAACATCAGGTCTCTGCAGGTGGGGGGCAATAAGTGTTCATAATACAATTATTCATCTATAGCACCGGAAATCAAGAAGGGGAGGAGGTGTAAAATAAATAAATAAATAAATATTTATTATTCTTCATCTGGAGTCATACAGACTGAGAAATGTTTTTACTTATATGTCTACACCTGTTCAGTTCTGCCATTTAACAACATACTGCTGTTCTCATATGTTGCTATAGCCAACTTCTCTTTCTGTGACAACCTACAACGGCCACCATTTGTTCTGCTAGGTTTAACTATTTTCAAGATGTTCATCCTTTTTCGCCAGTATTGTGTTGTACCTGTATTTTTCTAACCTGAAAGTGTGATTATACCAGTGTATAATACATATGCACTTGCACCTGCTTTCAAGGAATGTCTCTAGCTGCCATGTTTCTTTTGCATTTGTCAGCAATTGCTTCAGGCAATCTTTGAACCCCATTTTAGGTTTGTGTTATGGATGCTTCCCCATAGAAAAGCTGTTTCAGAAGTTGCTAATTTTCCATTCTAACCACACCATCTAATATGATGTTGCAGGATGATGCTCTCAATGCTTGTGCACTTACACTTGTCAAGGACTTCAACTCACTAATGAGCATCTGAAAGCAGGTACAAGTGCATTTAAAGATCTGAGGAAGAAGCATCAGCAGTTTAAAAGAGATGTCAGAAAAGGCAAAAATGAACAACTCTCATCATATGTTGGTATTGAATGTGATCACATGTCTTCAATGTGGTAAAACAGGCCTAAGTAAAGCTGCCCTCAAAAGTCATGAGTGATATCACATGAACCGCAATTTTATTAACTACATTGAGGATGGTCGGAAAATATGTAGATGTTGTTAAAAAGATTGTGCTTCAATGGAAGGCCTAAAGAGACACATGAAAATTTATAACAATAACCAAGAAGAAGCAGTACAAGACATGGGTCTTTTCAGCTGTAACATTTGTGGTAAACAATATTGGTCCCTGGTCATACTTATTATAAAGCCCAGGTTGTGTGTGTGTGTGTCTGTTCGTTTATATATTGGATCGGATTTCCTACATTTTTCAACCGTTTTCAACAAAACTTCACAGGACTACGTAAAATTACCTTGTGGTGGTTCTGACAGCGCCAAAAATTGGGAAAACACAATTGTTTTTGCATGAAATCAATTTGAAAACATGATTAAGAGGCATCACTATTGCGAGAATGAAAGGGGGACAACTCATATCGAGTTATACTTATTATAAAACCCAGGTTGTTTGTGTGTGTGTGTTCGTTTATATATGGGATCTTCACTTTTTTTGGCAAGTAGTGTTTCTTATTGTCTTGCACACCTTTTTGTTTATTTTTACAATTTGAATGCTTTAAAAATTCCATTTACAAGACAATTGTTTATAATAAAATTCTATTCAATCGGTAGACTCATAACGATTGAAAACAATGTTTTTGTTTGGGTTTGACTAATTCATAAAAAAAACAAAAAAAAAACAATTAAGACATGCGAGTCCGTCAACCTTAAACAATAATCTCTGTCAATTTTATTTTTCAGTCTTTATGAGGGTTGATACTTGATCTATCTCTTACTGTTACATCCACGGGCAACGCCGGGCTCTACATATAGTATATATATATATATATATATATATATATATATATATATATATATATATATATATATGTGAGCCATTAAAGTTGAATAGAACCTTATAAACACAAATCTTTCCCAATCTCTTGAAATAGACGTATCTGCTCAGTTTCATATCTTAATGTAAACAAAGCAATTTCTAAAGTGATGAATTTTTATTTTTAGTGTTTACTCATATTTGAGTCGATAAATCTTATTAAAGAAAAATATGCACTCTCTGAAAGGATTTGAACCCCCATCCCTCGGGCTGGGGAGAAAAACCATCATTAGATCCTGGTTAATAAATGAAAGTTCTCAATAATAAAAAGTAGAGTAACAATATTGAATAGATAAATAAAAGTTTGAAAGACTTTCAAATTCAATTTTCATTTGTCCAGGTATGAAAATATTGAACTTTTATTTATTTGTTTATTTATATACTAACAGATATATTGCTTATGACGATCAACAAAATTAAATGACACCAAGCCTGGTCAATACTTAGGTAGGTGACCACTTGGGAATACCAGGTGTTGTAAGCTTGGATGTGTGGATGGTATAATGGACAATGACACAGAATTGTAAATTGGAGACCTGACTTCCAATTCTAGTTAGTGTTGTTAAATTCACTTTTGTGCAAATACACTTGGGAAAGCTATGAATCTGCCTCTTCTGTCCCAAATTATGGGTTAATTAGTAAAAATTGTTTCCCTAAACATTTATTAAAAAAAAACAAAAAACGCTTACAATCTAAAAATATGTTCTGGCTTTAAAATAACCTGCAAAATCAATCGATCTAAAAGTATAGAAATTTAATTGAAATCATTTTACTGTGATTTGTGTTGCCAGCTTTCTTGTTATGGCAGTCGACCACTGGCTATCTAAGAATGAAAATTAAAAGGTTTTATTTAAATTATAGCTTAAATTGTAAGTTAACCCTTTCTTATATGTATCTTTTTAATATCCAAATTAGAAAATAGCTAAAGTAAAATTCTGCTGTTTGTAGCATTTACTTTTTAAAAAAATTGCTCAATACAAAGTAGAGCAATATATTAAAATAAAATGATAATAATATCTTAATATGAATATATTATTTCAATTTTAAAATACATAACTGATATGTGTTTGTTTTCTGTTTTTTTTTCTTCACAGAAAATTTCCCACCAGTCTTTAAAGGCGTTTCTCAATCCATACTTGTTTATAAAAATATTCTTATAAAAGTACACGCAGAAGATCCTGAAAATGGCACTGTTACCATAGACCTGAACACAACATTAAATAATAATACCTATCAATTTGGTAAGAAATATTTCATGATATATTACTGTGTTCCCTTTTGTGTTTTTTTTTTTGTTTTGTTTGTTTTTTTTTAATCATTTCATTCATTGCAAAGCAGTAAAGCCACTAAGACACAAGGCGTTACTGAGCATGAAAGAATAAGAAAAAAGAAAACAGTAGATAACAATTAACATTGTATTTAAATTTTGGAAGATCAAAGTTGGAATGCATGGAGCTGAAAGGGTTTCACAAGAGTGATAAGAGAAACTTGCCAATCTAGTACTGCACTTAAATTCATGAAGTCTAGGTATCATAGCAGAGGGTTCATCTAAACAACTGAAAATATTTATAGAAAAGACACAGAGAATGTACATTATGATGCTGAGAAAGTGACTGAATATTTTTTTTATTTACTTTTTTTGCTAAATATCACCCAAAACAAGGTTTGAGAGACACTCAAAGTAAAGGGTAACAATCAAAATGGTACTGATGGGTGGCAGAAAGTGTTGATTATAAAGTGGATTAGATTAAACTAATGATGAAATCTGGTATCTGGGCACAGCCAGCAGACATTCATGGTAGCTGGCACCTTGCTGTTCAGTCATCATAAAGGGTCAGAAAAAAGAAAAGCCAACTGGTGGAGATCAGAAGCCAATGCAGTAAATAGAGGGAGCAATCTCAGACCATCATTCCTACTTCATCTACCAAACCTGCAGAAGAGAGTGCCATGCAACAATAGGACTGTTAAGCCATTCCAGCAATGCTCACAAATGGACTGAATTTTGACAATTTGTCCAGCTTCATCTATCACAACTAAAGAAGAGGTGGTTTTATTTTGTTTTTTTAAGCATTTCACCACCAAGCAATGTGGGAGTGTCACTAGCACACAAGGGGTTACAGTGTGTGAGAACAAGAGTAAATAGGGTTGTTTTGAGGAAAAATATAGGGAAAGACTGGGATCAGCATCAAGGCATCAGAAGATGTCGATTGACATTACATTTGAATATTTGAAGATTATAGCTATCAGGGAAGCAAGTAAGAAGAAGGGACTTCCACTGGCATGCAGTACAAGAAAAGAATCTGTTGTAGTAGAAGCGACAGTTACATTTAACTGTTTCGACAGTGAAAAGGTAGGACTTAGATGCCAATCTAGTAGCACACTTAAATTCATGCAGATGGGACACCAGTGAAAATAGCTCATCAGAGCAGTTGCCATGAAAATATTCATAGAAAAGACAGAGGGAAGCCGCATCACATCTGTGAGAGTGACTGCAGATGAGATGATAGATCAGGACCCATCACATTGCATATCCGTCTGTATTTTGTCTGGGACCTCGAGATGAACAGAGGGGTCACCAGACCATATATGGTAACAGTATTCAATGTAAGGGCAAATCGTAGATATGAAGGATGGACTCGGGCAAGAAAAACCTTCTGGCACAAAAGAGAGAACCAACTTTCCTTGCGATAGAAGAATCTATTGATTCAATCTAATTTTTCCATCTCAGGTCAGTGGAAAACATGAGACAAAGAAGGCCATACAAAAATTGGTTTGTTATACCACTCCAGATGCTACTTGCAAATGGACTGAATGTGTGACCAAACAGGGTGCTACCATTATCTTGTGATATAAATGGATGCTCAAGGACACATGGCCCAGTGGATAAGTGTTGGTTGGATCCAGTGACTTTACCTAAACAGTTGTGAGTTCAATACCTGGCTACAGCAGAGGTGAACAAAAACTGGAAGAGTTGAATTAAAGGAAGATAACTGATATTGAGACATTTGAAAGAGGCATGGTATGTGGAGTTAGAACAATCTACTTTGGTTCATATTGAAATTCCAATTACCTGAAGAAGGCCAGAGCATACAATGGCCGAAACGTTGTGAATATGGCAACATAAATGGACAACAATCCAAACAATGTAAATAGTGTAAATAATTACAATACCTCATCTCGAAAATATAAATGCTTATATATACAAAAATAAGCTGCATTTAAGCAGTAAGAATTCATCGAAATAAGTTTAATTAAATTCCATCAACAATGTCCGCCTATTCAACTTTTTTTTTTACTATGTCTTTCCAGTTTCTGAATGGGGTGTACATTAGGATTTAATATAACAAGAAAAAAAACCTTAATTTTAGTCATAACATCAATCCTGATGCACTACACCTCATTCAGTAATTGGAAAGATATAATACAAAGTTGACTGGACATTCCTTTTTAGTCGAATTTAATGAACTTGTTTGGAGATAGATATAAAAGTGGAAATTGATGTCAACATCGAGCGGTGACAGTCTGTTTCATGCTTATACACAATCACCAAGACATTGATTGTGTTCGATTTTAATGTCCACTTTTATATCTACGTACAATGTATCCCTTATATTGAGCACTTTAATCCATAAATATAGCATAACTTAAAATTACATTTATCATATATATATATATATATATATATATATATATATCAACTACAACCAAACTCTTACTGAGACTCACCTAAGGATCATAGTAACATTATTCAGATACTCACAAACACCAATATAAATAGAACTCCCCAAATTCCAACATAGACTTCCTTGAATTTGGACTCCTCTTCAAATCAGAACTTTTGTATTGACATAAATATGAAGCTTTTTCTTCGTTGAATCATAACCGTACCCTCAATACCAAACATCTTGGATGTTTGGTTTAGAGGAGTTGTACTGTATATCCTTATTTTTGACTTCCTCTACAGATTGTAATTGTTTTTTGTTATTAAATAAGATATTTCTTGCCCATAATAATGTCTGTAAGTTCAAAAAGAAGAGAATTACCAGAAACGTGAAATTCTTGAAAATATAGATAAAGGAATAAGTAACTCATTTCTAATGAAAAAATATATTGGAAGAAGTACACTTTTCTATATAAAAAAAAATAGAGAAAATTTTACATGCTGCTTCATCCTATTAAAGTAAAAGGAGAAATGCATTACAAAAAAACTTTCACGAATTACAATATTTGTTGAGCAGAAATTTTTCAATTACTATTGGTTGTCAATTACTTTTTTGTACATTTACGTATTTAATGAATGTTACAAACTACCTTTTGTATCCTAAACTCTAAAACTTAATAAAAATTTTAAGCTTGCAACAGCAGCCTCAAAACCAAACAATACCCGCAATACCAGATCTCAGATGTTTGGTTTAGAGGAGTTATACTGTATTATCAAAATCAAACAATAAAAACACTCATGATCCTTGAAGCAATTCTCAGAAATAAAAACAACCGCCCATAAATAAAACCAATTATAACTTAAGAGTCTGCATCCTCAGATGTATATAAAATAAACAAAGATATAAATCACACTTTGCTTACATCACACCACTCTTTGCCAATGTCATCACACTCACTAATTCTATGAAACTCACCATTGTCTCTACTTATCCTGATGATGTCTTAGGAAAGTCGAAAACTTTAACCATATTTCTAGTACTTTTCTTTCAAAATCAACTTTGGAAAACAACAGTATATGTTGGGAAAACCAGATGTCAAAATGGCTACATTTGAAAGAAAAGAGAAAAAAGGTAAAAAAAAAAAACTAAGGAGTGATTGTAAAGTGAAAAAAAAGACAAAAAAAAAAAAACTTGGAATATTAGTGTTTAAGTCTTTTTATTATATTCTTACTCTGTCCTGGACATTGAGTTCTACCTGGATTTTATCCTCTTGGAAATTTTTATATATGTATGTGTATATATATATGTATGTATGTATGTGTATTTTATATATATATATATTGACCACTAATATTTTCTTCTCTCTCTCTCTCTCTCTATATATATATATATATATATATGCTAACCTGCATGTCTATTTCATGTATATATTTTTGCATTTTTTTCTCATCTGCTTTTCAGAACAGGACCAATTTAATTGGACACTGGATACTATACCACGCCCAACTTATGTTAAATTTTTTGCATATGATTCTTCAAACGCAGCATCCCTTTATTGGCCAGAGGTGTTCCTTTGTACCTGTAATAACGAAAGTGAATGTCAAAAGAATGTCATGAAAAATAAAATGCGTCTAAGTTCATTAAGTAAGTAGAATTGCATACATGTGCAAAAGCACCATAATACTGAAGATGTTGCAACACTTTTTATACTTCAGTGTGTTTACATGACAGCACTTTTTAAACTGGAATTTTACATACTAATAAATACCTGTCCTGCAGAAAGTAAACTGAGATATGAAAGAAGTTCTATAGTCTTGTCAACTGACTCAACACTTTTCAAATATCTTTTTTTAAACCACACGATGTTCCATTGTGAAAAATATGCAGAAACTACATTCAAAGATTTGTTGGTGTCAAAAGCTTTTTCGAGTTTTAGTGTACAAGCATAAATAACCTTGTAACTTGATGGCAGAAATGTGTAGATGTTCAGGGTTACTATTTTGACTGATTTAAATACATTACTGTAAATTGTGATGTACAAGTTGAGTTTTCAAGTTCCAAAATTGGGAGGTCAACTAATATGGTGGGTATAAGACACAAACCTTTACCACCAAGTTGTACACAAGTGGGATAGCACTCTTAACAATTACTGTACACCACTTACTGTACCCCTAGCAGGCTGCCACAAATATATCCCACTAAAACTTGTGTTTGGTGAACATATTTGGCAAATTAACACAGAAATTAATAAAATAATGATGTAAATATAGTATTCTATTAATGGTACAGCATACATTGCATCCATCAGCTGATATACTAAGTAGAAACACTGACTGAAGCACATATATTAAAACATGATCTACAGGTAAGTAGTACCTCATATAGTTTTGGCACAGGTTATTGTATACTGTAGCCTAATTTTATTTACTGGTAGGCCTAAGGCCTATCATATGTTTGGGAGTTGACCTCTATGGTAGGAATAGGCCAGACTCGGAATTTTGAGCTTAAAAATCTTGATCTACTTGTACACCACAATTTATGATAATTTGAGATTTGTGGATTTTAAAGTCCGACATTATTTTCCAAACAATTTAATAGTTTTTTTTGTTTTTTTTTTTAGTTAATAATAGTCTTTCTTGAATGTTATTCATCTTGCTTTTTGCATTTTGTAGTGATATTGCATTGTCTGAAACTAGTCAAATATTCATCCCTTAGACAGAAGAAATAGTTGTAATAGTTTTTAAAATTTCTGCATAATTATCTTCAGCAAGATATCTTTTCTAAAGTTCCTTTTGTTATTATGCTAAATCCACTTGAATCTTTACTCTGGGCAGAGGTACATTGAGTTGAATATGAAACATTTCAATAATTTTCTCGTGTTTATATTAATAAGAAAACTTAATTCAGCAAACTTAGTATTTTTTTCATTTGTTTAAATAATTTGGTACACCCTGACAATACTTCATAAATAATGGACGATTCCATTTTGATTGCATGGAAGGAGGAAGAAAGACATTATTTTGTCAAAAAATAGACCACCTCCCACAATCACCAGTAGTGCTGGCATTAGTATTACTACCGATGTCCCCATCCTTTTTAGTGTAATGACAGAGGTACTGCTGTAGACAGCTGTTTCCCAGGACTGGGCACCTCTGAATATTTTTTTTTCAGTTGCACTCTGCACAAAGACACAACTGAGAAATGAAATGTAATTTATCTGCCCAAATGCAGATACTACATTTTGATCTCAACCTTTCATTCCTTTCTTTCCTTTTTCTTTTCCTTTTCATTTCCATTTCCTTTTCCCTTTCCTTTTCCTTTTCTTCACACTTTCCTTTCTTTCTTCCTTACTCTTTTATTTCCTCTTCCCTTTGTCTTTTTTCTACTCTCTTTATTTATTGACATTATTATTTTTTAAAAACCATGCAATCCCAGTTCTTTTGTATGCAGAGGAATAAATAATCCCCTGCAACACTAAATATTAGCTGGAGATTGCTACCGATTGATTACCTTGGAAATATTGACTTGGTCATTTTCTGGATATATATTTTCATGGGAAGATTTTTCAGGGCTTGTATATAAGTCTCTGTTTCCTACTCTATAACACATGCCTATCATTTGGCAAAGAATATTCACAAAAAATATTCAACTGATAATTCATCCATCCAGATATGTTATTTTTTTTTACATTTTAATATTTGATTTGTAAACATAATTTTATCATTTGTAAGCTTGTATAGTAAATAATTTTGTCAGATGCGAGTACAGTCCAGTTGCTGATAAGTTCATCAAATATGAGTACAGTAGCTTATAAATGAGTTGCTTATGAAAGTAAAAAAACTGAAGAAAAGGTTTCTTAAAAATACTTTATTTTCTGAGAGTAGAAATCTGTTCTCTGATCAGGAAAGGGTTGAAATTATGGTTAAAGTTTTTTTTGATGTTATTAAATTTTGCATGGATTTTCTTTTTAAATTTTTCTTTATACTAAAAAAAATTTCTTACAACTGCCATTTTTTTTCCTTCTGTATCTCTTCTCAAAGGTAACACAAGTCAAGGTATGCATGATCTTTTTTTTACTTAACCTTTTTTCAGTCTCCTCCCCCCCCCATTCCAAGTTAATCTTTTTTGTCTGTAAACCCCATTTCTGTTGTAGCTTAATTTGCTTATATAATTACACCTTTAGACTGTAACTAATTATCATATAGCTTCAGAAGTGGAAATTTTGATCTGGAAAACTGAAAAGGTTACAGCAAGTCTGAAGTTGTTGATGACCATCAATTCAAAATGATGATTAAAAATAATCCCAGTCACATGACACAGGACATTAGAGATAATTTACATTTGAAAACATTTGGCTCCATGAATTGCTGCCTCACAATTTAACATAAAAAATTTAATAGACTGTGATTTTCTGCTCAAAAATATTGAGGCAATGAAAAATAAATTATTTACAACAATGTGAAGTGAAAAAATCCTGGGCAAAATGAAATGAGCCTCCATTAATGACACTAAAGAGCAGTCTGCATGGTTTCTTTCAAGCTCCTTTTGCAAAATCAGTTATTAAATTACCAACCACAAAAAATATGTACCATTTATAGAAATGGTGCCATAGTTGAAGGTAGTATTTGTAAACAGTTCATTAGAAATTAGCAGTTCATGGAAATTTTGATGTGGAAGATGAATGTTTTAACATGTCTGCAGTTGTTGATGACCATCTATTCAAAAAGATGATGCTGTGTACCTGGTAGGCTTGGAAGAGTATTGTGTATTACAAGCTCCTTTCACAAAAAGTCATTGAATTAGCCAATCAAAAGGGTATTGTCTTCCATCAGGACAACACCAGACCCCACATCTCTTTTCAGCCCCAGCAGAAATTAATACTGCCTGGCTGGGATGTCCTACTACACCTATCATACTCATTTGACCTTTTACCTTTGGACTGCCACTTCAATCTCTGCAATGGAAAGAACTTCAACTTTCTGGGAGCCTACAAAAACTGCTTATCCAGAAAGATGCCAATTTCTGGGAGGATAAAATCAGGAATCTGCCCTAAAGATGGTGAAAGGTAGTGCAACAAAATGGTGCATATGTTTTTAAGTAAGCCTATGTACAAATATCTAAATATTATCATTAAAAATTCACTTTAAAAAAATGCTACAAATGTTTGTTTGAACCCAATAAAAATTGGTTATTAATTATAAAAGTTAGAATAAGAATTCAGGATTAATTAAAGGTTCAGAAAAAAATATTATAGATTTCTGCCTGCAACCACTTAATTCTCACCATCACAAAAATAGGACAATGGACATTATTTACACCATATATTTTGTCATTTTTTTAATATCACCATTGTTTCAGCTGTTGTGACCTGTGGCCTTCCCCAGATGTACATCAATCTAGGTAACCTAAAGGGAATTCTAAACTGAACATTTTATTTAATCTATGGTGGTAGTGTTCTCATTCCTGTTCTGTTATTGCTCATCCATTTCTACTCAGTGCAAGTACACACTGCCTAACCCATGACAGCAATAAATGAACAGTATTAAATAAAAATAAAAACTAGGTGATATCCATAAACATGAACAGTGAAACAAGAAGTCTACCATTGTAAAATAAATAAAGGATTCAGTTCAGAATTCCCTATAGGTTACCCAGATTAATATACACATGAGAAAGGTCAGAGGTCACACTAATGAAACATTGTAATAACAAAGATGTTAACAATAATATAAATATAGTGTAAATGATAATTAATTGCAAGTCAAAATTGGAGTATGACTTTGATGCTGGGTTTTCCTCAATACTATGTTTGTTTGTTTTTTTTGTTTTGTTTTTTTTTTATCCTGTGACTCGAAGGGTCATAAGGGAACTAAGTGTACTGCAGTTGCAGTAGAAGTAGTGTTTTTTTGGGGGCAAGATAACCTGATGGAACCCAACATTCTTCAGGCCATTTCTGAATTCAGTTTTTCCTCCTTCTATACAATTTGCTACCCAAGGCTATAGAACCCAGTCTGTGCTGCTATTTAACCATAGCTGGAGGGAGAAGAGGATTCATACATTTCCCAGAGCTATTAGCACATGTGAATGTAATAGATTGGACTGGAATTCAAACATGGCCCTCCGATTCCTCAATCCAAGCTGATAGCCATTACTCCATCATTCCTCTTTCAATACTATGTATAATATGGTAATTCATTCAGTTAGTTTTTTTTTTCCTCTCAATCCTAGTAAGAGATAATGGAATGATTATCAACATTGGAAAGTGACAACATCAGACAGGAAATGATATTAGTTCAGATTCATGATTGTCCCATAGGATAATTACTTACTGGCTTAAATAATTTGGTTCATGACATTGTAATCCTGAGCCAGGTAGTACAAACTTAAAATTAGTGGAAATGGTGAGGATTAAAAATGATTAAAAAAAAAACAAGACAAGATTTCCTTTGGCATGGACAGCAAATTGAATACGGAAAGCACAACTGCTAAAATATTGAACTAACAGGAACAAAGATGAGGACATTAGTCTTAATATAAATAACAGGGCTGTGGAGTCAGTTGGAAACAATTCAGAGATCACTGGAGTCAATGAAATTATGCCAACTTCCAACTAGTTGAACTTACACTTTATGTAAAATGTCTTACATTATAGAATTTTTATTCTTATTTCTTCTACTGTATATTTATGATTTCCTCTAAAGAAATTCATTTCAACTTCTTTTTTAAAGTCATTTTATTTTTTATAGTGGTTTTGCATTTGTTGAACTATATATGTAAAAAAAGATCTTACATTATAAAATTTTTATTTTTGTTATGTCTTTTACATCCTGTAAAAGATTATTTCAACTTTTGTTATAAAGTAGTTTTATTTTTGTTCTGTACTTATTTCTTATTTGAAAATATATATGTAAAATGTCTTACATTATAGCATTTATTTTTATTTCTTCTATATCATTTTAAAAATTTTGTTTCTAATTTTGTTAGAAAATATTGAAGAATGAATAGGTATGATATAAAAGCCACAATATCTTTATTCTTTGATATGAACCATTTATAATATAGGCCTATTCAAGTTAGGAGCGTATACATAAGCTTTGAGATTTGTAGGCCATAATCAATTAATTACATAAAGAGGAGTAGGAGGTGCCAAAAATAAAGAAATTGGAGTCAAAGGTTTTGTTCCAACTCCACAACCCTGATAAATAATAAAAAAGTCTTCTTTGTTTTTCGTTTTTTTTCTGTTTCCTCAATTCTAAAATTTGATTACTTTTGTGATATTTTTTAATCAATTCACCCCCAAACAAGGTGATAATGCCATTGAGATGCATAGAGCTACTAGAACTTTCTTTTTTAATCTGTATCACTCCATGCAAGGCAGTAAAGTCACTAAGAAACAAAAGGGTTATAGGGTGAGGAAGAATTAGGAACAGAAACATTAATGGATGGGAAGAGGAAAGAGTAATCAGGAGGACAGTAGATAGCAATAAACATTGCATTTAAATTTTTGCAGATTAAAGTTGGCTGGAAAGCATGGAGCTGGAAAGGAGTTTCACAAGCAGAATGTGTGAGAAAAGAAACTGTTAGCGTAGAACTTATGGCTACATCAAGCCAGATCAACAGTAAATTGATGGAAAAGTGAAAGAGAATGAAAAAAAAAAAACTCAGTCCTAAACAGGAAGCAAGGGATAAACCTCTACTTCTGTTCAAAAGACTGCGGAGGATTGTGAACCAGGCAATAGGCGAATCTCTCCACTCATATTAAAAATAAGAAAAAAAAAAATTTTCAGAGTTTAGGTGGAGACATTTAGAAGTATAGAGTTCTAGTAGACTTTAGAAGGAATCAGAAATCCACTTCTAAACAAGAAAGCAGTATAAACCTCTTTTTTTCAAAAGACTAGGGAGGAGTGTGAACCAGGTAATAGGCAAATCTATTTACTCCTGTTGAAGAGAAATTAAAAATAAATGGTAAATGTTAGAGTTTAGCTGATGTTAGAATTATAGAGTTGAAGTAGACTTTAAAAGGAACCAGAAACCTAATCCTAAACAGGAAACAAGGAATAAACCTCTACTCCTGTTCAAAAGACCTATCTACTTTTAATCATATAAATACTAACAAATTCTAAACTTTGCCATAACATTTTCTGGTGTCCTACACTTCTTTTTAAAGCTTTGACTGCCCTTATTCACTTGTTAACACTTTCACTGCTGTGTTTTTATGGTATTGTTGCCTGGCTGTGCTGGGCAGTTTTGGAGCAAAATTGGAAATTGCCGTAAATTATAGTTTCTTTCTTTTTCTTTTTTTTTTTTTTTTTTTTTGTTTTTGTTTAATATTTAATCAGTTATACTTAAATGTCTAATCTTAAAATCACATGTGGTTGGGATACCTTTTGCATGGCTTTCCAGACTTTGTTTCTTGCTTATAGTTTTTAGTGTTTCTTTAATTTGGTCTTGCGAATTGCAGTTTATCCTGATCACTGGATTAAAAAGTGCTTTAATTTTTCTTCTCTTCATTTCATTGTTTTACGTCATCTTTCCCGCCTCTATTCTCCCTAAACACCCTCTACCTACATTTCTCTATATTTTTTTGCTTTTTTAATTATGGACATTTTGCTCTTTAGCCTTTGGAGTTTTCCTTTTTCCTTTTGATATTAATTTTATTTGGTTTACTCATTGCACTTTGTTTTTTCATCAAGATTACAATAAAATAAAAATCATATTTTTATTTTTATTCTTTCAGTTGACTGATTGCTTCAGGGTCATTATGAAAATTTGCTATTGTTTTTCCTTTTTAACTTTTTAAAAGATTGTAATTATTCACTTAAGTATTGTTTTTTGGTCTGTTTGTAACCATTTCATTTGGTATTGGGGAAAAATAAAGAGATGTGACTGTGGATTGAGAAATCTTCATAAAAATGAGGAAATATCTTCATCAGTTTGGAAAATGATTGATCAGTGGATTAAAAACTTAATTCTTCTCCTCCACCTGTCTCTTTTCCTGTCTTTGTCTCTCCATCCCCCTTGTCAAGTCATTCACTTCTCTTACTCTGCCTCCTCATCCCATCCTTCTCTGCTCTCTTTCTCTTCCTCCTCATCCCATCCTTCTCTGCTCTCTTTCTCTTCCTCCTCATTCCATCCTACTCTGCTCTCTTTCTCTTCCTCCTCATTCCATCCTTCTCTGCTCTCTTTCTCTTCCTCCTCGTCCCATCTTTCTCTGCTCTTTCTCTTCCTCTTTTTCTACTTTCTCCCCCTTCCTCATCCCATCTTTCTCTAACCTCTCTCTCTCCTCCTTGTACTATCTTTCTCTTGTCTGCTCTCTCTCTTCCTCATCCTCTCTCTCTTCCCTCCTCATTGTGTCTATTCCTTCATTTCAGTAATATTGTTTATACAAATACCTTAAAAAGGAGGTGCTGAAAACTCTTTAATCTGATCAAATTGTCTGAATCATCATTTTAATGAACAAACATTATAATGCAATGGGTGTGGCCAATAAAAATTTCCAGCACCTCTTCATATCTTAGAATCTGTCACTAAAAGTCTCAATAGTATTTTTGTCTTACTTTCTATTAGATCGTATGTACCGGATGCCTTGTAACTGTCGAGAAGGATACACTGGAAATAATTGTCAAAAAGAGATTGCTCGTTGTACTGACACAACTTGCTACCCAAATGTTGCCTGCAATTCTTCTAAGCCTGGAAATCCCTGTGAATCCTGTCCTTTGGGAATGGCTGGTGATGGCATAAAATGCTATGGTAAGTATTGTGTACAATTGCTTTTAGAATAGATGTGAAAGTTCTCCACAAAAGAAATTTTGTTAATTTAACAATACCAATGCTGTAATAAATATTTTTTTTGTTATAAATATTCTTCAGATCTTTAGAATTCTATGCATGTTTATAATTGAAAACTTCCATGTAGTTAGAAATTATTTACTTGTTCATGAGAATTGTTAGTTCCAATCCAATGGGGAATGACTGCAAAAACTCCCCTTCTCCAAATTTAATGGCAAAACATACAGATCCATGTTGGGATTTATTCCTAGCCAATAAGATAGGGTATTTCTCGGTCTCATCTGACTTAATTCTGTTCTTTGTCAGAACTAAGTCAGATGAGATGAGAACTTGGTCAGGAAAAAATTCCAACATGCATCTAAGTTTTGCTGTTGAATTTCCTTTTTTCTTTGGAAGGTGGGTGAGTGTTTTCGCCTTATTACTGGTGCTTTGCCTTACATATATTGTTTGCTCAATATTATTTTTGCCCTGTTCTTTTCTTTCTCTTGTTATTGTTTATTGCAAACTTTGTCACTTCTGTTTGTTGGGAATTTCTGCTAATTTTAACTATCACTAATTACTCTACAAGAATTAATATTTTTTACAATTATTGTTTTCATGATACATAAGAGGAGATAAGTGCAGATTATGAAGATATGTAAGATAACGTAATGAAATCTGTCAGATTAATAATTTTTTTTAAAAATCCATTATTTTCTTTAGAAACTAGTGGAACTAAAGAATGGATCTTGTCTCTGTCAAATTTTTTATATACCAAGGATGCAAAACAAATTCTTTTGGAAAGGATGTGAAAGTTTGACTAGCTAAAATGTTGGTAGCCTTGAATAAAAATGGTTGTAATCTGAAAATTTGATCTACCAGTAAAGCTCAAATGGGGCTACTTTTTGCACAACTGTATAGTTGATCTTTCAAGTATGGTGTTATTGCTTGGACATTAACTAAAAGGCATGAGCCTAAGCTTGATAGAACTGTGGTGAACAGCCCCGCAGAAGCAAGCAAGCCAGAGTGGCTTGCATGTGGTGTATAGGAAAATAAGGGTCTTACCTTAATGTACGGCACGTGACATCAGCAAGTTTGCTTTGTGAAAATGGCATTACTCTCCCGTCCAGCCATTCTAGCAGTATGTGCAATGAGTGGTTTTTGTACAGTTTGGCATGCTTCCACCAATAGCAAGTCATGTGCTGATTGGTCCAACTGGAGGAGGCAATTTGCCTGTGTAACCGAGAATAACAGCGAAGAACGCTGATTGGCTGGGGAACCGCGGTGTTGGCCTGATAAGTGCTGGAGCCGTGAAAAAGGGGATAGAAATGTTGGCTATACGTAGTGACATGTGAAGAAAGCGAGGATGGCGAATTGAACCAGTGATATTATGATTTGTACAAGTAACGTTGCAGCAATACAGACTTATTTAAGCTACAAGAACCTACACTCAGATTCTGATAGCTATATTTAACAACTCTTGGAGACAACATCCAACTTAATCACATCCCTATGGACACATCCCTGATATTTCTGTAATCTAACATGACGTAGAATGCACTCTGAGGGACACTGCTGGCTAACAAAACAAGAACATGCAAGTGGTCTACTGCTCTGGACAGCTAGGCATGGTGCAAGACTGAGTGGTCACCCATTAACCACCTACATTGACCAGTTATATTATGGCACAGGATGCCACCTTAATGACCTCTCGACCTTGATACAGGACCATGATTGATTATGTGATAGATTCCTGAATGTCCAAACTAGTTTGATAAGCTCAAATGTACAGATCCCTACAGCTAAGACTTTGATTCATATCTTTCTGTCTGTTTGAATAATTGGTATGAAACATTCTTGGATCAATCATCTTTTTACTTTATATAAATGAACCGCTGAAGAGTCTATTTTGTGAATATTAGTGCAGATGATACAATATATAGGTGCACCTCCAAAACTCATAATGGGCAGAGATTGACAGCTGATCTCTCCTCTGATCTAACTCTAACATCTCAGTGAGGAGTGTGGAACTGGCTGGTTACATTCAATGCCTCAAAAACCAAATTACTTACATTTCATCATCACCAATGAGACTCAAACTACCACCAGTCATGACCAGAGGATGTCTCCTTAGGGAAGCACCATACCTTGAGCAACTATTGGGACTTAAACTCATCCCAGACGTAAAGTGAAACTCGTACATACAATCCATCAGTAGAGATGATGGAAAAATGGATGGTTCCTTGTACCATTCTAGTAAGTAACCAACTCCTCATGCTATCCTCTGCCTTTACAGATCAGCCCTAAAATTGCTGTCATTTGAGCAAAAACTGTCCAGTCTCAATAGTTCAAAAGTGTCTCCATGTCCTTGTGGGTGACAAATTATTTTCCACCCTGCAACCTCTCTCACAGACAAAACATAAGCCTCTTACTGCTTGCTCTATTGTTATTTCCATAGAAAGTGCCAAACTGCATTCCACCAGTTCTGATATTTTCGGCTAGGACCTGTCATGCCATTCACATTGTAGTGAACCACCCTAATTTCCTCTGTATTCTATTGGTAAGATCTAAGTTCCACTTTAGCAGCTTCTTCCAGTGAACCACTGCCTTATAGAACCAACTCTCAAAAAGATGTTTCTCCAATCACTACAATCTTAAACTGTTCAAGTCTAGGGTTAACTGTTATCTTCCCCACCTATAAACTATGCCTCTTGCTCTAGTTTGAGTGGCTTTTGGGACTTGTACAGAGTGAACCTCACTGTAGAAAAAAAATGTATTTGCATATATTTTTCAGTGTCATTTATTTTCTATCTTTGCAGATATAAACCAATGCAGCAAAGCTGTATGTTCGCAGAAATGTAAAGACCTTCTTGGAAGCAATTATATTTGTTCCTGTTGGCCTGGATATGTTTTAGCTGCTGACAACAAAACTTGCTTAGGTAAATAAATCTTTACTCAGCTTGTATTGAATTGAATGGGAGATAGAAAAACCGTGTATAATCTGGATGCTTTGAAAAATCTTGGATCCCACCACAAACCTTCAGTACTATTGATTTTAAATTATTTCCCCCCACACATGTCTATGAAGCAGTGTTGGCTTTCTGAAAAGCACACCTAATATTTTTTTAAATTTTGTTTGTTCTCACTTCTTCACTCATATTTTCTGACAAATAACTGCATACATAATGTTTCTTGAATTTTCTAACCTTCCCTTGAAGATAATGTTTTTAGCATTTTAAACCATTGACAATTTTCACTAAGAAGAAAGATTGTATATGTAAACAGTTTTTACTTTATAAACAGGAAGCTTTCACAAAAAATATTTTCTGGAGAAATATTTTCTTATAAAAAATATTTTCTGGAGTATTATCAAATGAATAAATTATAAAAAATAACTCCCAGCAGTGTGTTAATTACACCCCCACTAGTGTTATAGTGGAACACACCTATTCTATAGTTAATAGACTCTCCCACCTATAATAAGTAAGAGTAACGAGTCAGTCGGTCAGTGAGTCGATGTCGGATGATAGTTAGTCGAATACTAAAGTATCAGCGACCACAACTAGATTACTCTGCGTTATACCTATTATATCAAGTTCCTAACGTTTTGTACGTCAAACATATTTTAGGACCGACTTAGTACAAATACAAGCCTCCACTGTGAAATCACTCCACAACAACTAGTGATATAATAGCTGAGATATTTTCACACAAAAATTACCTTGAATTAGTAGTATGGATCAATTTATGATGAGTCATAACTCATTTTGCTCACTGGTCATAAGTGGTTGTCAATGACTGTGATAAAGGTACTGAGACGCCAGAGGATAGTGAGAATGAGGGGAAACTGAGAAAATGTTAGAGGAACAAGACAGATTTTTTTTCTATTTGAATTCACCCCAAGCAAGACAGTAAAGCCACCAAGACACAGTGTTACTAGATGTGGAGGAATTAGAAAGTAGAAACATTACTAGGGAGTGAGAACAATAGAAGAGTAACCAGGAAGACAGTAGATAGTGACTGACAACGCATTTGAATTGTTGAAGATCAAAGTTTACTGAAAAACATGGATATGGTAAAGAGTTCCACATGTGAGAAGTGCAACAAAAGAAATTGTTAGCATAGAACTTAGTTACATTTAGCCAACTCAACTGTAAATAGACGTCATCACTAATCCAGTACTGTGCTTAAATTCATAAAGTCTAAGTAACATAGCAATGAGCTTGTCTGAACAATTACCATGAAAGTATTTATAGAAAAGGCGCCATGAGTTAACTTTACAGCGGCGGATAAGTGACTGAAACAGATTTGCCAGGTCGGGACCAATAATATTCTGATTCTTTGGATTTTATCAAGAATCTGTAAATACAGTGTAAGCCGGATATAAGAGAGTTGTCGGGACCGGAGAAGAAGTCTCTTATATCCGGGTTTCTCTTATATCCGGGTTTGGTCTAATTTATATACATTAACACAGGCTCTAATTTGGGACCAGAGAAAATCTCTCTTATATACGGGTTTCTCTTATATCCGGGTCTCTTATATCCGGGTTACACTGTATATAGCAAGCACACCAGACGATGTGTTGCATCAATATTCAAAGCCTGGATAAATGGTAGATTTATAGATATGTAAGTTAGATTCTGGAAAGAAAAATTCTCTAGCAGCACAGAGTGAACCAATTTTCTTAGCTGCTAACCTAGCAATGGATTCAATACAGTCTTTCCACTTTAGGTCAGCTGAGAATGTTATCTTACATATTTATAAGTCTACCATTCATTAAATATTGCTGCTACATATGGTCCAGTGCTTCTGCTGGATATTTAGAGATTCTTGATAAAATCCAAAGAAGAATCTGCAATGCTATTGGTCATGACTTGGCATCTTGGTTTCAGTCACCACCATAATATAGCTTTTCTGTAAATATTTTTGTGGTAATTGTTTTGAATTTACCTCTATGGTACCTAGACTTTATAAATTTAAGTACAGTATGAGATTTGTGGCAAGGTCTCATCATTTTGAAGTTGGAATGGCTAAATCTCTATCTATAAAAGGCTGTGTGTGTGTGTGTGTGTGTGTGTGTGTGTGTGTGAATGCACAGCCAATGCCACAATTTTGACAGATTTGCACCAAAATTTACATGCACATGCTCCAAGTTAGCGGGAAGGCCAAGACTGACTTTGCATTTCCCAACTCCCATTGATAGTGGAAATAATCGATTTTTTTCATGCTTCTATGACAGTTTTCATGTAGTTTGCAGCCATTTTCTACTGGCCAGAGTGAGAGCCTATATCTGGCTGCCACGAATAGGCAGGAAGATTCTATTGGCCAGCGTGAAAGCCAACAGCTGAGTGATATGAATGTTAAGTAGCATGCTAGCATGCAAAAAAAAAAAAATCGATAGCTGCATTCGTCACAAGGGGGAAAAATTTAAATCTGCATGGCACTTTACTTCAATTGGCTCATTCGCTTGCTTAAACTCAATGTTGATTCTGATTCCGCAGAACTGGGTTGGGTGTGAAAAAAATATTTGTTGTTAACATTCTTTTTTTCATTCGGTTTTTCCAGTTACGAGTCCTTTTTTTTAAAGCTGATCATTTTGTGTTCATTTTGTTTAGTTCTTTTTTTCGTAACAGATTTAATGTTTAGTATAGAGCTTAGAAAAAATTTGCAGTGTGAGATAGGCAAGAAGTAAGGCATGTAGCAACATCAGCACGGCAAAGGGCACTCCTTTAAAGGCAAGGAAGGGCAAAAATATTTCAAGTCAAGTGATAGCGATTGCTGTATGAGTCGTACGATTTTTGAATCAGGCACAGGCAATGCCGGGCAATGCCGGGCCATGCTGCTAGTGTAACTATAAGTTCTATGCTAACAATTTCTTTTATCACACTTCTCACTGGTCAAACTCTTCTAGCTTCTTGCTTCTCGGTGACTATTTCATCTTGGGTATAATGATAAACTACATCCAACAGCAAAGCCTCTGACTGAAAGGTTTTAAGGATCTCTTAACCCCCTTTGATAGCATACATGCATATATACGTTTTTACCAAAAGTGTTTTTTCAGACACTGATGAATAAACATGTCTAAAAGATAATGTTCAAAACACAGCTACAGATGTGTTTATACATTGATCTTGATTCTTTTTGTGCCCTTCTGCAAGTGAAATAAGTCCAATTGTTAACTCCTACACTTGGTAGAGATGTTAGTCAATGCTCAGGTACTTCAAGGTGCCTCAATTTCTTAGTTAGTATATTAAAACAAATAAAAAAATTTGTCTGAAAATGAAACATTTTTCCCCAAATAATTGGAAGTGGTTAATTGCTGTTGTTCCTAGATCCACCCTGACCCAGGGTGAGTTAGTCCCAGCTATGGGCAAATAGTTAACCCCCCAAACTGGGGTTAAAACACTATGAAAGCATAAAAATAGATTTTTATAATAAAAATGCCAGCAATATATTTTTTGAAAAAACATTATTACCAGTAATACATGAATCTCTTGAGAAAAACCCTCTTTACAAAAATATGTCAATGAAACCTAATCTGCAAACTAATTTCTTACAAAGAATACATATTCTATTCATGCAAACCTATCATAAAAATCTTTTCAGCATTAAATAACCTGTTGAGGTTGATATGCCATAAAACAAAATAAGCCAAACCAAACCAGACTCTCAACAAAAACCCACTTTACAAAAATATGTCAATGAAACCTGATCTACAAACTAATTTCTTACAACGAACTTATATTCTATTCCTACGAATGTATCCTAAAAATCTTGCTGGTATTATATAAACCATTGTTATACCTGACATACCTATTCTATTATTAATAGACTCTCCCACACATAATAAGTAGTAGTAGTAGTAGCGGTTGCCAGTGTGGCTCAGTGGTGTTGAGTGACTCAGACGATATCGGACATTGAAGTACCAACCATCACAACTAGATTGCTGTGTCATTAACTCTTATTTCCAAGTTCCTAACCTTTTGTACGTTGAACCTAATTTAGGACGACATTGAAATACAAGCCTCCACTGTGAAAACTACTCTACAACAACCATTCAGGTTGATAAGCCATAAAACAAAACAAACCCAAATCCAGTAACCTTATGAGTCTTAATGACTTTATTGCCTTGCTTGAGGTAAAATGATTAAAAAGAAAAAGTCAAGTCATTGTCTACCTCCAGGACCAGTAAACAGTCATGAAGCTATATTTGACTTTCTTTTATCTGTCTCTTGCTGGTTTCTAATTCAGTCGACGAGCAGAGCTTTAAGAATGCTAAAATAAATTTTATCTTCTGTTTTTGCAGATATTGATTAATGCTGGCTTTTTGCTTCACAGTCAACTTTGATCTTCAAAAATTTAAATGTAATATCAATCATTATCTTTTGTTATAACTCTTGTTATTTTAGTATCCTCTCTACTTAAGAGTAATGGAATGTCCCACACTCCCTATTGCCTATGTGGACTGACTATATCAGTAGCTGTATATAGTGAGCACAGGATATACTGGAGGGCTTGCTTTGGGAATTACTAGCCTGCCATTCAATTCCCTGTCTTTCTGTAGTGTATTCTCTTTTACAATAAACCTCTCTTCTTTCATCTATGCACGTGTAGCTGTTCCTTCACTCGAGTATCACCTTTGCCTGTTTGTAACCTCTCCAAGGATAAAACACTCATATTATCTAACGTTTATTAACCCCTTGTGTCCTAGTGGCTTTATTGCTTTGCCTGGGGTGAAATGATTAAAAAAAGAATAAAAATAATCAACTTAAGCCATTGTCTACCTTCATGATTGGTAAACAGTAGTGAAGCCATTTTTTTCTTTGTTGGTTTCCTTTTCTTTTCATTTTTTTTTTTTGTTTCCCCACAGTTTGTATTTCAGTAGGAGTGTAGAGCTTTAAGAATGATAAAAATAAATTATCTTCTGCTTGCAGATATTGATGAATGCAAAAGTGTAAACAACTGCACCAAGGAAGGTCAATACTGTGAAAACAATAATGGCAGTTACAGTTGCAAATGCAAAGCAGGATACCTACTTCAAAATGATACTTGTATATCACGTAAGTTTTTCATAAAATGTTCATCATAATTTTTCTCATTTTTAGATGGTTTTCTGATTTATGAGAAAGATATTTGTACTATAAACCACATTTTATTTGTTTTATTGATGAAAGATGTAGGTTAACGTCTTTTCAAAATGATGTAATTACTGACGATATTCCATAACAGTGCAGACTATTTATTTTCCTTGAATGTCCTGAAAGCTTATCCTGTTTCATCAAGTACAAAAACTTCTATGCAAAAGCAGTACCTCTGTTGTAAAACTGAACTAGACCCATATTAGGATTTCATTTGTTTCAGAATTTTCCATTCTTTGTTTGATTGGAAAATGCATGAATTGATTTTATCATGTTGAGACATTTCATTTTATATTTTTCTTTTATTTTTAATTTCAGTTAAAGGAAAAAATAAAGTGGATGGCAGTCTTGTATTTTCATCAATTGCAAACTCACCCCAGGCTTGGTCTGAAGACCTGAAAAATAATTCCAGTCCAAAATTCAAGGCTTTAGCTAATATTATGAAAACTTCAGTAAGTTTATAACTGATCTCTACAAAGTGCTTCATCCAAAAGAAAAGATAACCATAGAAGGCTCTGCTTATTAGACATGCACATTTTTCAGTCATGGAAGATACATGGTTATCAGTTATGGATGAGTTGTTGTTGTTTTTTTTTGGGGGGGGGTAATTGTTTCACAACCAGTAAGGCTATTAGAACAGTGGAAGAGAATGAGAAGAGTGTGTAGGTTTGAGGAAAGGACATTAAAAGACCAGTGTTCAAGATGACAAGATGGTGATTAATGTTGCCTTTAATTTTTTGAAGATTGTAGTTATCAGGGAAGCAAGAAATTGGAAGATTACCACAGGTGAGAAGTGCGAGAAAAGAAACTGCTACAGAAGTGGTAGTTTCATCTAGCTAATTTTAAAAAAATTCAATTAAATAGGTGAGACCTAGTTGCCAATCTAGTAACACAGTTATTCAGTCAAGATACCAAGCTCATCATAGCAGTTACCATGTAGATATTTGTTTTTAAAAAAAAAAAAAAAAAGGTAAGCCATGTCACATCGGTGAGAAAGTGACTGAAGTCAAGATGTCAGATCAGGATCGATTACATTACAGAGCGTTTTTTGAATTTTGTCAATGATCTCAAGATAAACAGCAGGATCACCAGACCAGATATATATGGCAGTGGTATTCAATGAAAGGACAAATGGTAGATTTATAAATGCGTAAGATTGATTCTGACAAGAAAAGTTTTCTGATGCAGCACAGTGAACCAACTTTCCTTGCAGCAGATGGAGCCAGTGATTCAATATATTCACCTTGTGATATGATTAAAAGAAAATGTAGTGTTGGAATATACAAAATAAATTTTTATACTACACTCAAAATGATAGTGTAGGAGGATAAAGGTGAAAATTGATGTTTCAAAAGATCAAGTTTAAAAGTTCTGGTGCATAAGAAAGATAAAAAGTCTGGAAGGAAAAATATATATATCTAAATTTAGTAGTCACTGATTGACAATGTGGTGAATGAATCTGTTTGTTTTCAATGTAGCAAGTACCTTTTAGCTGTCTAAGGCCACCAGTTTGACATGTAATATTTCATGTCTGTGTATGTTATGGTGAATGTAGCATAGAGAATGGACAAAATTAATTTATTGACTCTGGTTGAATTTTCATCTCTTTATATACACATCTATAGATCCACTTTAAAAAGGGTGCTCTGCTCCTTGTTGGCTTGCTTCTTTATATCCTGGTTGTGAAAGCTTTTTGATTGGGTTGGTCAAGCTATGGCTTTGTTTGCTTGGTGATTTTTATTATTCATCTATCTTTAAAGATGGTGAAATTTTGCTCTTGTTACTTATTTTTATTTATTTCTCTATTACCACAATTACACTAGCTTACACATGTTTTGGTGCAAACCAATTTAATTTTCTGTTAATGTTAATGCCTCAAAAATAAAACTGTTCTGTACCAATCATCTCAAAGAACCACTTTTGCCCTCCATCAGCATAGCTAATTCTAAACACCAGGAGAGCAACTCCCTGCACATTTTTGGTTTCACTTTTTCCACAGACATTAAGTGGAATTATTATATTGAATTATTTGCTAAATCTGCAAGGAATGTCAGTTCACTATGCCATGCAAGATAATTTTCTCTCTAGAATCTGCCTTGGGCATTTATAGGGCTACCATTTGTCTGTGCATCGAATATTGCAGCTATATTTGGTTTGATGCTTCTGTTTTATAGCTTGAGATTTTTGACACAATCAAAAAAATCTGCAATGCTATCAGTCCCAACCTGGCATCTAGGTTCCTTTGCCTTTTCTATATATATTTTCATGGTAATTGTTCTGATGAGCTTTCCTTGTTGGTATGTTGACTTTACAAATTTTAAACACAGTACTAGTTTATTGTCCTCTGTTTCTTTTGCTCTCAGTAACCTCTTGCATCCTAGTGGCTTTTATTGCCTTTCTTAGTGGTGAAATGATAAGCGAAAGCTAATTTTAAGATGCTTATTCCAAAAATAAAGTCCATTTTTACTGGTTAACTCCACATCTTGTTGTACAGAACTTGAGTATTTTTGCAAAAAATGACCAAAACTAAACTTCCCATAATATTCAAATTAATTCTGAAGGACTCCTGCAAAAGGAAATATGACCATTATTGAATTCTTGATCACTCAAATGCCTTTGTTTACATCTTATGAAAATGTATAATGATAATGACAATGTAATTGTATTGTTCTAAGTTATTTTAGTGATGAGAAAGGCGAATGATTCCACCAGGTCATTAAAGTTGTGGAAGAATGGTATCAAAGAAATTTTTTTAATCATTTCAGCCCAAGTAAGGCAATAAAGCCACTAAGACACAAGGGGCTTACTGAGTTTGAAAGAAAAAGAAAAATATTATTAAGGAGGGAGTGATAAAAGAGGAATCAAGAAGACAGAAGATAATGATTGAGATTGCATTTAAATTTTTGAAGATCAAAGTTGACTTGAAGAAAGATTTCCACAAGTGAGAAGTGCGAGAAAAGAAACTGTTAACAAAGAACTTATAGTTACATCTAACAAGACTTTGTTGCCAATCTGATACTGCACTTAAATTCATAAAGTCTAAGTATCATAGAGGAAAGTAATATTTATTTAGTTATAATATAAAAATGTGGAACAAGTCCAAATTGGGGAATAGAGGAAGGCTGGTCTTCAATCTGTCATATCTTAAACTTTGCTAGCCACAATTTCTGACCCAAACATACCACAGTATTCCTTACACCAAAACAACGCATTCTTATTTACCATTCTTACTAGTCACCATAATATCTCAAAGTCTCTATGTAGTCCTAACTAGTCCCCATATGTACAATTTGTCTGTGAGGAGTGGAGAATAAAAATAACACTTAAAACAAAAAAGAAAGGAAGGTTCATCAGAACAATTATCATGAAAGTATTTATAGAAAAAGCACAGGGAAGTTACATTATGGTGGTGTGAAAGTGACTGAAGTTAGCATGCCAGCTCAGGACCAGTAATATTGAGGATTCTTCTTTGGATTTTATCAAGAATCTGATGAACAACAGAATGATGGCTGACTAGTGCTGAAACTTGGAACAAATCAAATAGGCAAAAATTCTTGCCATGATGACCAGTTGCTTTCAATATTCAAATCCTAATTACTTTTGGTTTATATTTCTTTCACATTTCAGAAGTTCTGCTTCATTTCACAATAAGATGGTGTCCAAATGATAATTTATTTTTTCTTCACATTTACAATGATTTAACCAAATCATGACCATTTTAATGTAGGATATGGTATTCTAGAGCATGAAAATGAAAATTTATTGTGGAAAATTTAATTTTAGATTCAGCATCCAAAAGTGATTCCAAATTAACCAAAATCTTCCATGCATCATTTTTTTAAAATTTGTAGTCCTGTTATCATTAGGGTCTAAGAATTCCTTTCATAAGGTCTTCATTGAGTTCACCTAAGTTTTTAACAACATCAAACAAGACAAACTTTGGTTGCTTCTCAAATGACTTCCATGACCAAAAATCTTACATCTGTGTAACATGTTTCTTTGGCTGCTATAAAAACTGATATTGATTTTAGCCATTTCTTTTCAATCAAAATATTATTTAAAAAGTGAGATTGTGACGACATTGGCCATGGTTAAATGTAATTGGCAAAATGTTCAGCAAATGGAATTGACAGTTCTCAAACAATAAAACACAGAAGGAAAAAAATATACTAAACAAACTATATATATATATATATATATATATATATATATATATAATCTCTAAACATGTTTGATTAAAAGGAACTAACAAAGTCTGGTTGTTTATTTTATTTTTTTTTTTTTTCCAATTTTTGGATGAAGTATTGCGCTCAAATTTATGGATAAACTGTCTGAAGTTCATATTGTTTTTTTTTTTTTTTTTTTTTTTTTTTAATACTTTTGACTATCACCATTATTAACAAGAACCAATGTGGTGTCTGTGTGGTAGTTAGAATTCCTTTGTCTACATTCTAGTATTCTTTGGAAGTTTGAAATTGTCTATTGACATGTGTAGTTGCAATAAGGAACAATTCTTCAAAAAACAAATGTGATTTATTTATTTTCTTGTATTTTATTTATTTTATTTTTAATACTAATATATGTGAATTTTAATTATATCATATACACTTCAAGATATTTTATTAAATGTGGACTGTTTATTTTGTATAATAATAGTTACTTTCCTTACATTGGGTGCTGTAGAGTATTTTGGTAGGATTCTCCACTAGTATTTGTCTGATGTCGATAGTTGTATTTTGGGTCATTCATGATATGCTAGTCAATGTTTCCATGGAGTTTTTGACATTTGATAGGTCAGTCTGCAAATTGCTCAACAAACTGAATTGAAAAAAGATTGGAAGACCAAAATAATACTGAGCAAAAAACACACACACACACACACACATATATATATATATATATATATATATATATATATATATATAAAATACAAAAGTGAACATAGAAGTCAACACTTAGAGGCGACACTCTGTTTCATGCTAGACAGAATCATCAGGCCACATAAAGTACTTTCCACTGAAGATGTTAAAATTCATTCATTTTCAGTGACTGGTTGTGGTATACACAGGTAATTTTTTTTTTCCTGGATGGGTTAAAATTCACACCAAAAATTCACAGGTCGCACTATATATAAAGTTGGATTATACATGAGTATATACAAAATCTGAACTAATGTGCTCTGAGATGAATTATTGGTTTTATCCAACATCTTTCTTTTTTTTAATTCAGTTGTTGAAAGTCTTACCAAAAGACAAGAGTGATATTCTGGAAGTGACCAGTTTTGAAAAAGTTGTTTCTTCACAGTAAGTATAAATAACATTCATTGCACAGTGCCTCATACTCCAGGAAAACAGATTAATGGCTTACTGCTTATTATTCTAGTATGCTCATCTGCTAGGATAGCTAATCTTTATTGCAGACTCCTACTCAGGCCCATTTTTGTTTCTTTAGCATCCACAGAGCCATCCCATAATTTATACTGCAACTATGCTAAGCAGATCTTAGTTACAGTTTCTGGGAGAGAGGGCATAATCTGGCATGATCAAAGTTTGAACAATGTCAGTGCACTCAAACCTTTTGTTATGATGATCTGTTACTCCTGAAATCATACTTTTCTGATCACTACAATCATAACTTTGAGTCTAGAATCAACCATTAGATAGCCTCATATTTACTTCCTCCCCTTCTGTTCATATTTCAGGGAGAGAGTGCATAATCTAGTGTGATCAAAAGTTTGGACAATGTCAGTTTTCTCAAACCCTTGGTCATATGTGTAGAGGAATATGCATGGATAAATGAAGAAAAAAATGATTTTCAACACAGCTCTACAAATTTAAAATAGTAGGGCAGACTGGAAGCTCTAGCCTTGATTAGCAGCCAGTCTAGAAGAAAACCTCGGATTTCAAACTGGTTGGATAAAGATTTGGTGTAACATGTTTGAAAAGTATTCCTGATATATCTGGCTGTTACCTACAACTGATATCCTTACTAACTACCCCGGGGAGACTATTAAGAAAATTATTCTGGACATGTGCAACACCTTACTATTCTAAAAAAGAACAAAAAATTATCAACATGTATATTGAAAGTAACTATAATTCTCTCTTGGAGGTTATAGCAAGATTAACTGATTCTTATATGGAAACAGTTGGCACTCATTGATCGAAAAGTCAGCACTAAAGCCGGTGTAATACTATGGACCACTAAGAGGTGGTCCTATCTTGATCTCAAGTGTTTCTGTTTGATAGAACAGTGGATGGTTCCTTTGGAAGTTCAGTCTTCTAATTGGCATTCACTTTAACCAAAGGGGAATTGGAAGTAAAGGGTGAAAGAGTGATTTCTGGAGATCAAGTGGCAACAAAACAGGAAATAAAGCATATCCAGGTGCTGGTCTATATTAAGTCATGCTTGGGATCGGAGAGAGTTCTGGTGGAAAGTAAGTTACATATCTATAGTTTACAACTTTTGATTCCATTCAGAGCTGATTTGTGGTTATTTAAGAAGTCTAGTTGGTCTAAGAACCAAAAGGGTTTTGGCTTTCACAAATAAATAGCCATGAACTGTTTCTGGGAACTAAATTAAAGAAGTGAATGCAACAGACTAAACTGGAATTTATATTTGGTTTGTCAAGGACCATAAGAAATCAAACTTTTTTTTGTTTTAATATTATATCCTTTTAAGACATAGACAATCATGGTTCTCCTGAGAATTTTTCCCCCCTTATGTGAATTGCCATGATTTCTTAGGAAAGATAGTGAAGCAGTTTCCTGTCACTTTCTCCATAGCCTTGAATGCAGTTTTGTTATTCTATACTGACACTCAGGGGTAGAGCGCAGTTTACTCTTCTACTTAACCAGGAGGAGAGGACATGAATTTTACACATTTTTAGTATTAATAAAGGAAGTAAAATTCAGATGAAAGAAATTTAAAAATTAATGCTTGACAATGTTTCATCTAATAAGACAATTACCATTTTGGATTGTGAAATGAAAGTATCTGCAGAAGATTTAGTTATGTTGATTTTAACCTGGTTCATAATTATTTATTCAACTTGAAGATGTCATAAATCACAAAATCTTTAATTTTCATTTCTTTCTTTCAGGAGGCGGAAAAAACGTTCTACAAACACCGATTCTATAAAAGGGACTTATGAAGTTTATGGGAACAATCTTAATGCTGACCAATTAAAGAATTCAATACAGAATAGTTGTCAGACTCCATATTGCAATCTTGGTGGATTATCCGGAGTTTCTTCACAATCAATCACTGTTGCTGGTAAGTTATTCATTAACTGTTCTGTTATATCCAACCATTACATGAATGATTGATTAGCATCTCCACACTATTGCCTGTTTACTAACATTGACCATTAGCATTTGTTATGTATTTGTGATATTAATGTGTGTTCAGAAAGATCATGAAAGACCTAGTGTTACCGCTCCCAAGGATTTTTTTTCCTGGTAAAGACAACTCTAAGAATCGACTGATGCTTGAAAATTGAATCTATTTCCATTTTTACAAACACCATAAAATACAGAAAGAGAAAACAAAGACATCACGTTATATATAAAAAAAAAAATGGAAATTCAAAGGTGATTGATGTGTTCCAACCTACTTTGTGCATTGGCCAACCAGAAATTGAGGGTAGGTATAAGCTGCTTTTCTAAGCAAGGGTACAGCAACTCTGTTTTTGTTTTTCCCTCCAAGAATATGGCAGTTGCCACAAGACTGATGCAAAATGAATGATGGATTCCTATCAGGAATTAATCCCCTTCCACCAGCCCAAGACAGTGACATCCTTCCTTCTTTCCCTTCCTCCCTCACTCTCCCCTTCTTCCTCCCTCCCCCCACTCCCCCTTCTTCCTCCCTCCCCAACTCTCCCCTTCTTCCTCCCTCCCCACTCCCCCCTTCTTCCTCCCTCCCTCTCACTCAAAAAAGAACAAAGGTTTCATGTTGCATATACTAATACAAAAACAAATGCCTCAAATAGCATGGAAATTTGAAAGTGACAAGTATGTTACAACCTACCTTGTGCACCATTTAACCAGAAATCAAGAGTAGTTACAAGTCATGCTAAGCTTTCTTTCTAAGCAAGAGTACAGCTACTCTGGTTTTGTTTTTTCTGCCTAAAATTTAGCGGTCACCATGTGACCGATGCAAATTGAATTCTGGATGCCTATCAGTACTTAATCACATTGCACCAGCCCCAGGTCAGCTACATCTATCCCTCCCTCCCTCACTCACTCTCCCTCCACCTCCTCTTTCATGCCAAAATATGACGGTTACCATGTCACTGCAGATTGTATTTTGAGATCCCTATCAGTACTTAATCCTGTTTCAGCAGCGCATAGACAGCTATACCTAGTTATTGGAAAATATGATGCTACATATGAAGTTGAAATTGGTTTGGAAGAAAGCACAAATAAATTGTTTCATAAAGAGGATAACCAGAGACATGAAAAGCAAAGGTCAGAAATGAGAGAATCCATGTCTTCTATGTTTTACAATTTCCTGTTCTTTGTCATGCTTAGTCATTTTATTTTTTATTATATCTCCTAATCACTGTTTTGCCAGACATTTACATAAGTTCATTTGGTTATGTGCTGCTTTCATTGTTACTTCTTGCCTTCAATACCTGTGGGTGTCAAATTTTCTAAGCCCTCTTTCTTCAACATGAGCTGTATAAATTTCAACTGTCAAGGACACAAGGCCCAGTGGATAAAGACATTGGTTAAATCCAATGACTAGACCCAAAGAGTTGTAAGTTCTATACTTGGCTACAGCAGTGGTGAACCAAAAAAATTTTAGAGAGTTAAGAGAAATAACTGAGATATCCAGAAGAGGCATGGTATGTAGAACTAGAACAATCAACCCCGGTGGATGAAATAAAGGGTTCAGTTTGAAATTTCAATCACCTGAAGAAGGCTGGAGCATGCAATGGCAGAAATGTTGTGAATATGGCAATGAAGATGAGGATAACGGTCCAAATAATGTAAATATTCTTTTCTTTGTTTCTAATGAAAATTTTCCTGTTTCTTAATACTTTGCTTAGCTTTTGGAAGGCAACTTTTGTTACCCCAATGCCTCCTGATTTCAGTGTTGTATTTTCCATTCTTTGTTAAAACATTTCCTGGTTATTCAAATTTTTGTACTACAAAGAATTCCAAAAGAGAATGAAAGACTCAAATACGGCTTACCAGGAAGTGAGGAGTGGATTTGTACAAAAACAATAAGTAGAGGGAAGTTTACAGGAAGAAATAAGTACAATGTAATTGTGATGAACAACACCTTCTCCACTCATCCTCACCTGCAGCCTTTTCCATGCCTTAATCCTGGATAGAATTCCACCTAGCAAGCACAGTTGGGTAATCTCCACAAATCTCTATCAAAAGGGGGTTTAATATTTTTTTTTTTTTTTTTTACAAATGTTAATCCATGATTTTTGTCTCTATAAAGAATGTTGATTCAATGTGAGCATGCTTTTTATTTTTCTGATTGACAGCTGCACCTATTTGTAAAAATAGTCCTTGTGATCTTGAGTCAACAGACTGCATTGAAAAGAATGGGTACCAATGTGTATGCAAGCCAGGCTTTGAAAATTGGCCTCCGTATAATGATATACGCTGTAAAGGTAAGCATTTTAAAAATGAGTTAAGTGGTGTTAACTACTTAAATGGGAGACCATAAGGAAACACCAGGTATTTAAAGAAACTACCTATAATTTAATTTCATTTTTGCTTTAAATAATCTACAAAAGGTTGATAAGACATAAAAAAGAAATCAATCTTATAGACAGTTTGCATTTTATTATAATTTAATGGCCAGACTGACAGGGATAGCGGGATGCGAGCGGACTGAATGGGATAGCAGGATATCAATGGATTGAATTTTTGTTCAATATTTCTTGATATTGGCTACTGAAAGATAATCTGAAAGTGGCAATATGTCTAGTGAGTGTGCTTGGGATTTTCTACCTCCTCCCCCACCACATGCATGCACACATACACACACGTTTTACTGGAACTGGGAAATAAACAAAGATTAATTTGTTTCACCATCATCATCAGTCCCATGACCATGTGTGTTTGTAAGGTCATTTTGCAGCTGATCAAATGACCAGCTCCCTCCATATGTCTCAGCTGCATGCCAATGTTTCTGAAATTTTATTTTCTGAATATTTTTTTTCTGAATGTTTACTTTATCTGAAAATTTTTTCAAAATCTTATTTGAATTTAAAAATTTTTTTATTTTTTAATTTTTCTTCTGTTTTATGCAGATATTAATGAATGTGCACTAACAACAAAACCTTGTGGCAGCATTAACTGCAGCAACACTGTGGGAAGTTATACTTGTGTCTGTGACTTTGGATTCGTTTTTAAGAAAACCACTAAGGAATGTGTTGGTGAGTAAATATGAAAATTATTTATACTTTTTATAAACAAAATTGTACTGCAGATTTTCTTAGGAAGAATTTCAAACATAGCAGGAAGATGGTAATTACAGTATTGCCTTATGACAAACGGTAGAGAAAGGAAAGAAATCTGTGAGGACTACTGACAGGTCCTTAAGGTTTACAAGATTATCATTACTTTGTTGCAAATGTTCACATGAACTCTGTCCTTTAGTTCCACCTGTTCAGACTTTTACAACTAGGATATGTCATGCTACTTCTATACAGTTGAATCACCTTCATTTTACCTGTGCTACTAGATTGGCAACTAGGTCCCACTGTTCTACTATTGAACTAGCTAGATGCAACCTACACTTCTACTCTGAGATTTTTTCATACCTCCCAACTGTGGAAATCCCTTTTGATTTCTTGTTTCTTTGATAACTACAATCTTAAAAAAATTTAAATACAACATCACTTGCCACTTTCTGTCTTGTTAAACCCTGTTCTTTTTTCTTTTTTTGTCCTTTCCTCAATCCTCCCCAGTCTTTGTCTTCTCATTCTCTTTCTTTTTAACCCCCTGTAACCCCCTGCAGTCTGGTGGAATTGTAACTTTGCTTGGGGTGAAACAATTGGAGAAAAAAAATGTATGGAGAAAGTTCTACTCTGTCAGCTTTTCCCCCAAGAACTGCCACTTTGTAGAACTGATTATCATGTGGATGTTTCTCAGAACATTACAATTTTAACCTCTTCAAGTCAAGAGTCAGTCATTATCTATCCTCATAATCTTCACTTCCCACCACCTCATAATCACATGATTCATTTATCATAATCATTTTAACAATAACCTTATAGCTTGAGTGTGGTTTATGGCCGCATCACATTGAAACACTAGTTCCTGTATGATCACCAATTTTAAGCAACATCATACCTGGTCAGTACCTAGATGGGTGACCACTTGAAAATACCAGGTGCTGTAAGCTTGGATGTGCTCGAGGAATGCCTTAAAGCCACATCACATTAAAACACTGGTTCCCGTATGATTGGCAAAGTTAAGCAACATTGAGCCTGATCAATACCTACATGGGTGACTGCTTGGGAATAGCAAGTTCTATAAGCTTGAATGTGTGCGTGTGTAGTAGATAATTTACATCTGCTCTCTCCAGCTATAGGTTAATTAGTAAGACTAGTATCAATAAATTATTATCTCCCCCCCCAAATTCTTACAATCTAAAAACATTTTCTGGCTTTAAATAACCTGCATATGGGTTGATAAGCAGTAAAAAAAACGAATCAATCAATCAAATACTGCTTAGATACACAAGCATGTGTTTCAGATTTATTTACATTCTCCAGAATATAAATGTATGAAAACTACTGTGAGGGATCAGTTTATATATATATATATATATATATATATATATATATATGTGTGTGTGTGCGCGCTTCTAATGCTCTGGATGGAGTGGCTTGGGGGATAGAAACATGACTCATGGGGGCACAGTCCACTGGGCTAAGTAAACTTGGATGAGTTACACAGCAAGATTTTGAAGAGCGTCATTATATCTAGTCTAGTTAGTTACCTCTTCATCACTGAGACACATTGGTCCAGTGGGTATGACACTGGTATAGTATCATAATGGTTCAGGTTCAATTCTCAGTAGTAGATGTGCAATGCTGATGAGTCCCAAAATATGATGAAACGGCCGTCCAGTTCCTTCTGCATTGTGTTAAGTATTCTTCTACACTCAATGATTTACTTAATTATGATTATTTAAATCTCCCTAATAATTTCAATCACCCCCCCACACACACATATATTGATCCCCCACTTCATATCCACATTATATTCTATTTAGTTATGAGTCCACCTCTTCTCTAACCAGTTATGAGTTAATTAGTAAGAATTGTATTGCTAAACCATAAAAATTCTTACAATCTATAGATATTCTGACTTTAAAAGGGTTGATAAACCATAGAAAATGAGTGAATCAATCAATCAATAAATTTTACCTTGAATGTCTCTCAAGACTTGTATTGGGTGAACTTTACTATTAAGAAAATGTTTGCCATATTCAATAATCTATGAATTTTGAACTGAGCCTTATATTCTATCCATGGCAGTAGTGTTCTCTTTCAGCTTTCCATGATGATGGAATCTCTAGTCATTTAATTTTCTTTCAGTGTCATTCTTATATGCGAGTATAACAAATCAAGATGAGAATGCCAGTCAGAATAGAGTGGCATATAATAATTCCTCATCTCAAAAATTTCAACATGAATTATTTGGATATTGTCTGATGAAATCTATTTAAAAACAAGGATAGAGATATTAGTCTCAGACAAGAGACTATTGTTTTAAGGTCCAAGTCTGGAGCATTGAAATATTTTCTTGTTTTCTTCATTGTAGATGTCTGCAGTGGTAACGTTTGCAATGAGGGTATTTGTATCAGGAATGCTAATGATTTCCGATGTGGGTAAGTTGTAAAACAGTTATTTTTCAATAACTCTTCCTTGCAGATTGAATTTACATTAGATGATCAATGTTGTTTATAGTAAATTATTAATAATTTGTTGTTAATATTTGCATTTATTAGATGACATATTTTTAATTATGATTAATTCTTTACTAACTTTTTTTTTGCTGTTATTGCATGAGCTGTTTTTTTTCTTTTTTTTTTTGCAGTTACTAAGATCATTATTTTGTTAGTGGGCTTATCCATTGTTTCCTGTTTTCAAATAGGTTTCCAGTTGCTTCTAAAGTCTACTTCAACTCTGTTTCTAACATCTCCGCCCAAACTCTGAAATTTATACTACTAGAATTTTTCTGCAACATGCTGATGCATGTTGATATTCTCACAGTATTTAGTATTGATAAAGTTATCACTTCCTCTGCCCATTTGAAACTCTCTCTACTGTGTCTATATTTACAGTGATACTCAGTCAGTCATGTACTATGTGTGATGCATGCATAGGTGATCATGTATCTTTCAATACATGACTGACAAGGGAAATTTTTTCCCGCAGTAGGTTCCCATTTCTTTCTGTGCTAAACCAGTTACTATCCAAGGCTATAGAACCCAGTCTGTCCTGCTATTTACCCATAGCAGGGAGAGAAGAGGATTCTTACCTTTCCCAAAGATATTAGCATGTAAGTGAATGTAATGAATTCAACTGGAATTCAAACTCAACTCTCCGATTTCTCAATCCGAGCCGCTATCCATTACTCCAATTTGCCTCCACTGCACAGTGCTACTACTACTGTGCATTATATTTTACTTACCAGAATGAAATATATACAAAAACTTAAAAGAAATGCAAAAAACAATATTACATTTTTATTAAATAAGTATTTATTTTAATCATTAAATTGTTTTGAAAATTGTGGGAATATTTTGTATGTTAAATAATTGATGTAATGGAATAACCTGTCACCCCCATGAGTGTCTACACTATAGGTAGTAACTAGCTATAAGTATCTGTAAGTCAACAGATTACAGAGTCTAGCTGAAATCTTTTTTTGGCTATACAGTCAAACTCTCTGCCTTCGGGCAGAGAGGAACTCAGACGAGGCTCTGCCAAAGGCAGTCTTGTTCAGGGAGGTAGACTGCCCTGAATCCATTTATATGGGTTCAAAAGGGAATATTTTTGGTCGAGCCTACGGGACCGTAGAACCCACGTTAAACTGGCTTTGTGCCACATGCAGCCCTCGTGGGTGGGTAGCTAAATATACTAGCTGAAATCTTGTCTGGGTTCCTCTCTGCTTCCAAGCAGAGAGGAACCCGGACAAGACTATGCCAAAGGACAGTGTCTCGTCTGGGGAGGTAGACAGACCCAAACCCATTTATGTAGGGTCTACGGGGACATTTTGGCTGAGCCTATGGGCTTGGGAACCCCACATTAAATTCAGCCCTGTGCCACATGTGACAGCGTGGGGCAGTTGCTAGATACCGTCTAGCTGAAATCTGTTGAGTACAACTTGGACTTACCCGAGAACTACCGACCTTCCAATAGTAGAACTCACTACTGGACTGACTTGCACTGACCTTGTGCATAACTGTTACCTTTATTCTTATTGTATTGGTTTTTACAATAAACCTTTACTTATTTTATCCACCATGTTTTCCTATTAGCACAGAATATAACAATAATAAATCTTAATTTTTCCAAAAAAATTAATGAAAATTTGTTGTACTAAGCTATTAACCCTAGTAAAACCAACTGTACTTTGTACCTCCTTACCTGTTTGCACTTCTCCCCCAAATTTGGTTTTTATCAGGCAATGTATGCTATTTTAGAGGGTGGGACAGATGGACTAACAGAATTCACAAAATTTTATATATAGATTATTGTTTCTGGTTCCTTCTAAAGTCTTTTCCTTCTCTTTCACTTCTAGTAGATGCTTGTGTCTTAGTGGCATTATTGTCTTGCTTGGGGTGGATTTAAAAAAGATTGTCAGTTATAAATTTTGGAGTGGTCTTTATTTCATCTTCATTTCAGTTGCTTTTTATCACAACTCTCAAATAGTTATTCTATGATAATTCACCTCTACGCTTGTGGGACTTGGATACAATTGGTTGAGGCAGAAAAAATAATTCTGGCATTCAAGAACAACTGCTTGAGAAAGCTCCTACACATCCCCTACTGGGATCACAAATCCAATGATTATGTACAGAGAAAGGTCAAAAGTCTTGTGGGTCAACTGGAATGTCTTCTTGCCACTACTAAGCATCAGAAGATGTCATGGTTTAGCCAAGTCACGCAGCATAATAGCCTTTTCAAGACCATCATGCAAGGCACTGTTGACGGCACATGCAAGCAGGTATGGCAAAAGCTGGTAAGAGTGAACAGACATGACAATGTTGTAGCTCCTGAGAGTTATCGCCAACTGATCATCCAAGAGGAGGTTGTCTGTTTCTCCTGTTCCTAGGCCCCCACTGAGCAGTTTTTCTATTGGAAATTATAAAAGCATTGTCATTTTACAGCAGCAACAAAACACATATCTTTACAAAATGTCTGTCTCTTTGAAATCCTAAAAATACCCCCAAAATAAGGTAGATTCAAATAAGTAGCCAAATGTTTCCTGTCAAGAAACATGTTTTAATGTTCTGTTTCTAAGCACGGGTACCTGAAGCTCTACTAGCTCTAACAGGTAGTCCATCTAGAAGGCCACTGACAACACCTAACACCTGAGGACATTGCTGTCATCATCCCAGACTTGCTAAGCCACAGTAGATGAACCATGAGTGTAAAGGGTGGGGACAGTATTACACATACTGTACCACACCTAAAAAATTTTCACCTTTAAAGTCAAGCCAACTAGTTATTTGTAATGTGGGTTTTTCAAACAGTTCATTTAAAATATTGTAGATATATCAAATAGGTCTTACTTTTGTTACATATTGTTAGCATTCCTTGTGGTTTTGGCATTAGTTTTACAATACAGTTTTAAATGGATTAATAAGTTTATGTGCACGCATGCACACACATTGCGTGTCCATAGAAATTAATTAAGGTAGATTTTTAGTTTTTCACCAAAAAGTTTTGTTTCTTCTCAGTTATATTTTATTCTGGAAATTAATAATTCTTTGTATCATCCAACCCACCTTTTTGCAAAAAATTATTGTATGATTTGTATTTGCAAAGATATTTTAAAATTAAAAATACATAATTGCATTAGAATCCATTTTTAGCCACGTAAATGTTTCGAAATTCTCAGAATTAAAAAGTAAAAGATGAAAGGAAATAATTATTATTCCTGTTCATTTTTACTTTTTAATTCTGCTGATAATTTTGAAACACTATATGTATTTTTAAATTTTTTATTCTCTTAAATTTATTTCCATTTTCATTTTCTTTTTTTTATGAATTACTTTTATTATTAATTCATTATTGCAGATTTTAAAAACAAATCTTAATATCTATTCTTTTTTTACTTTGCAAAAACAAATTTCAAACAAAATATCTTGAATTGCAAGGGTCTCTGACCCACCCCAAAACTATGATATGGAATAATAATTTATTTATTTTATGGAAAATAATTTTTTATTCAATCTTTAAAAAATAAACTTTGTTTTTTGGTTTGTTACTAACATGAAAAAGTAATAATTTTAAGTTTTATTAAAACAAAAACTATAACAAGCCTTCTTTTTTTTTTCAAAAAATAATTTAAATTTCTTTTTATATGTCGATGTGAAAATATTTAATTTAACATTTCCTTTTTCTTAGCTGCAATGATGGCTGGTCTGGAGATAGATGTGATGTGAAAGATCAGCAGAGTGAGAGTACGTATAATTTTTTTTATTTTTTGTATATAAAAATGTATTCTGTACTCTACATGGTCCAAGGATTGATCCAATTCCTTTGTCTCCAAATTCATGAACCAATCCTTTCATTTATTATTGTCCTCTAATACAATACTGAACCTAAGACCTGGGCCTTTAAACTTAATGTTGTTCTTTCTTGCTTGCATGCTGCTGGTGTTATGCTTGACTGCATTCATCACCATTTTTATTTTCTTGCTGCAAATGTCAATTTTTATTTTATTATCATTCTACCCCAAGCAAGGCGATAAAGCCACTAGTACTGCATTTAAATTCATAAAGTCTAGGTACTTGTAACCTAAAAACGGTTACTGAATGAGGAATAACCAAAACAGAGGTTGGAAATTAAATGCTAATCTTTATAACATCAACAAAATACAATACTCGCCAGCGGCATGAAGTAGGTAAACCACTGCTAGTGGTGAACTACTTAGACAGCATATTACCCCCACTTACAATAGTTTCAAACATATTTATGAGGATTGGGATATACCCATTAGTGTTCATAGGTACAGTATATAACAGTACTATAGTGAAATGTTCATCTGAACAGTTACCATGAAAATATTTATAGAAAAGTCATAGAAAAGCTGTTACAATAAATTTATCTTTAATAATGGCTCCCATATGGTATTTATTTCTATGCTAGGCCTACTGAGGAAACCCATATAGCCTAGCATATGTGCTAATTCTATTAGATGTCTAATTCTTTTTAATTTGTAATTTTTCACTGTTTTGTATTTTTTTTTTTTTTTATTTCAGAACGGAGGACAGACCTGATTGTTGTTGCTTCAATCCTGGGCACATTTTGTTTCATATTCATCATAGTTATCATCTGCTGGTGAGTTACTCCTTCCAACCAAGATACTAACACTTGAAGAAAACACACAAACAAAAGAAATACTATCTGATTCTTTTACTTTCTTCTTTTTTTTTTTTCTTTTACATATTTTTTCTTTTCTCTGTCATCTTTTTCTCTGTCTACATTCCTCCCTCATTCGTTTTCTCCCCCTCCCTTTCTTTCCGCGTTGTCTCCCTCCCTTTCTTTCCGCGTTGTCTCCCTCCCTTTCTTTCCGCGTTGTCTCCCTCCCTTCCTTTCCGCGTTGTCTCCTTCCTCCCTTTCCGCGTTGTCTCCCTTCCTCCCTTTCCGCGTTGTCTCCCTTCCTCCCTTTCCGCGTTGTCTCCCTCCCTCCCTTTCCGCGTTGTCTCCTACCCTTTCTTTCCGTGTTCTCATTTGCTACCTCTCTCATTCTCTCACTCTCTCTCGCTAGTTATCTCTCCCTCTCTCTTTTTATTTCTCTATTTTCTCTTTACATCTTTTTATTTCTCTATTTTCTCTTTACGTCTTTTTTATTTCTCTATTTTCTCTTTACGTCTTTTTTATTTCACAGCTGCTAATAATATATAAATGCTTGCTTTCTTGTTCTGAAAAACATTTTTTATTGTGGTAATGAAATTGGAACTTTCTAAAGTTTTGGGGTTTTTAATTATTTATTTATTTTTTTTTGTAACATTTTTCTTTCCTTTTAGCCTCTTCACCTCATTTGTTCTTTCAGTAATCTTATTTTCTGTTCATCATCAGGTGACATGATTCTAAATGTGATTTTACAACTTTTATTGTGCCGGTTTTGTAATGGTTAGTGGCTTGGAACTAGAAACCAAAAAGCCAAGTTCAAATCTCAATGAAGTTTGTTATATTCACTTTCACATAAATACTCTTTAGAAAAGTATGAATATAATTTTACTTTCACATAAATACTCTTTAGAAAAGTATGAATATAATTTCATCTCCTCCTGCTATGGGTTAAACAGTATATCAGAACTAACTTCTAGACCAGAAAAAGAAAATGGACATAACAAAGAGATACTGAGAACTTTGTTTCACTACAGTTTATATTTAAAAAAAATAAATAAATAAATAAAAAATGAAAGAGAGAATAAATGGTCCATGTTAGAAATGTCAATTTTAGATGCTACAGCTCCTGCTTCTTAATTGTTTATATAGAAAGAACATGCACCGACCTAAAATAAACATCAACACACACCCTTTTAAACTCCATAATATTGAGTTTTTTATTTAGTACTGCTCAATTATTCTCACTCAGTTTCTACTAAGTCACCCAGCCTGTCACCAAATTTATGAACAAATAAGAAAAAATGAAAATTGAAATGAAAATTTGATATTAATTCGAAAAAGGAAAAGAAAAATTTGATATTAATTATGAAAATTGAAATGAAAATGTGATATTAATTCTAAAAATTTAAATAAAAATTTGATATCACTTATGACAATTGAAAGAAAAATCCAGTATTACAGCTTTCTCCCTATAATCCATTAACCTCTATCTAATCCATTGGGAGGAGGGGAACATTAAAGGATTAAACACTCTAGAAATTTCTTTTTTTATGAATAAAAATATGACACCATTTTTTATAATAGGATTTCACTTTTTTTTTTTTTTTTTTTTTCCCCTAAAGTTTCAGTCATATTTATCTTTTTGGTAATGGCATCCATTTTTATTTTTCAGCAAATCTCACAGATACCAAAAATGGACAGTACCAAAGTATTGTATTTTGGTTCTCAGTTTCCTTCCTTTAGTTTTGTCCTTTAGTATTTTGCCTTCTCTTGCACTTGTGTATTCGTTTTTCAATTTGCCTGTGAAGGCATGAAACTTAAAACTTGCCATCAAATTGCAAATGTCTTTTTCTGACCTTCCATACTTACTACTTATAACTAGTTTTTTGGTTTATTAGATTAATTCTTGATTATACAACTCAAGCAATTTTCAGCCAATTTGGATTATTAAAGTCACTCGTGCAAAATATTTAATGCCCCAAGGTAAACATTTAGCTTTGAGATTGGATGAATTCATATTTAAAATAATTCTCAATACATGTGGTTTCATATCTTTTATATAAGACTTTACAAGTACTTGAATGTCATATTTCACATTTGTCTTATTGTATAGAATATGCATATACATGTCCAAATATTCTATGGTTATATATATATATATATATATATGTGTGTATTTTAATCCACGAACTTGAATGGATCACAATGAAAACTAATCAACATATGTCTAAATTGCCTGTGAAGGCATGAAACCAAGCATGTTTGAATGAAAATATGCTGCTTTTAGATTACAAAAAAATATATATATATATAATATATATATATATATATATATATATATAAAAAATAATATATATATATATATATATAATATATGCTTTTTTAAATAAATGCTTTTTTGTAATCTAATCTTATTTCTATTTATTATAAATGTTATATTTAATGGTTACATATGTTTGAGTAAGATATCCCTGTTTTTTGGTGGGGAGAGGGGTTAACAATGAAATCAAAGTCTAACTGATCAAAAGTTCTGCTAAAGAAGTATTTATTGGCAGGCACATTTTCCTTGGTCTTTCAATCTCTAGTAGATATTGATTTCACTTTTTAAAAGAACATATTTATTGTAACTATTAAATATGCTTAACCTTGGTGATCAAACAAGAACCAGTATTTTCATTGTGATTTAATCGTACAGAGAATTGGTGCCCAAGATAATGGCCTCTTCAGTGTTTACGTTATTTACATGCAGACTATTGCCCTTATCTTTGTTGTTAGAACATGACAACAAAGATTAAGATAATAGTAATGTAAATAGTGTTAACGCATTCCAGAAATTTAAATACATAATCCAAATTGAATACCAACCAAGGCCAAAGAGTTCAGTTTGTCATACGATTTGACCCATAGCTTGAAATAGGTAATATTGCTGAGTACATTATTGTAATTTTTTTTTTACATATGAATTGCCATTTCTGCTTAGGATCCCATCCTGGGTAAGACAATAAAATACATCCAACAATCAGAGGTTTTGAAGAGCATGGAACCATCTCTTAATAGCTGGTGTTCCCAGGTCCACCCTGACCCAGAGTGGTAGCACCTGTTAGAGTCCCATCTGTGGGCAAATAGTTAACCCCCAAACTGGATTCAAAAACTATGAAAGTGTAAAAATAGATTTTAATACCAGAAATACTTTGTAAAAAAAAAATATTACCAGCAAAGGAAAATTCTTATCAGAAGTAGATTTTTTGAAGGAAAAATATTACCAAAAATAGATTTTTGGAAAAACATATTACCAACAATGAAAATTTTGTCAGCATTAAATAACCAATTGAGGTTGATATGTCGTAAACCAAACTAGATCTAGCTAGGGTCAGTGTGTATTATCTGTGTGCTCTGGAAAAGGGTTATATACACAAAATATCAACTTTGAATTTTAACCTTTTGCCAACATATCCTGAAACATTGGGGAAGAGTAAGGTACTCACTCCTTATCAGGTGCACCTTGAGAAAGACTGGAGTTCTATAATACATATACCTCTCGGAAATACCTTCCGCATAATGGTAAGACATTAGCTAGATGAAGACACAGATACCACTAATGTCTTAGCATTATGTAGGAAGTATTTCTGAAAGGTATTTCTACTGCACCCTGTAGATTGAGAATATGGTTGATAGAAATAAATATGGAATTGCTTGTGCTACGGGCTTTGTTCTAAATGGGTTGTTCTGATCAGTATATATGCTACCATTTTTGTTTTGCACTGCAAATACAAAAAAAAAGGTATTCTTTTTACATAGGGACTGTGTGAAGGTTGTAGAATGGTACTGGTGATTGATGTTGGTTTCTCTTCAGACCTATCACTTTCAGACCATACCAGTTAGTTTAAGAAACAGAAAAATTCTTCAACGCATTCATCAAATCAAAATGCGAATCATTCTTTTATAGTGGAAGACACAATTTATCCAAAGGGTAACTGCTGGTCATAGAAAACTAGGGAAAATACTCTGCATTAACAGTCCCACTGCTGTGAACATACTTATACCTCTTTGTTTGTCTGCTGTTCACACACACACACATTTTAAAGACATAATTGTACATCTTTGTAAAGCTTACATTACCTGCCATCAATGTACAGTAGAACTCCCCAAATCTGAAAATAGCATAATCTAGACTTCCTCAAATCCAAATTTTTGTATTGACATATATTTGAAGCCTTTTCTTCCATGAATCAAAACAGTACCCTCAATATCGAACATCTTGGATGTTGGTTTAGAGGAGTTGTACTGTATATCCTTATTTTAGACTTCCTTTACAGATTGTAATTGTTATTGAATAAGATATTTCATAAATTTTTAAATATTTCATAAAGTGTCTTAGTTTTTAACAAATTACAGTATTTGTTTAGCACAAATTTTTTCATTAATCCAAACAGTATCCTCAATACCGAACATCTCGGATGTTTGGTTTAGAGGAGTTGTATTGTATATGTTTTCAAGTTCCTGTGAAATGTTGGTCCCTAACATTTGTCTTATAAACTCATGTCTTGATAAACCAATACAGATATAGTAGCATATAATTGTTATAAAGCTCATATCAACTCATAATTCAGGTTAATAATATTCCAAAAGAAAACACAGGAGCACAAGATTAGTAATAGAACTGTTTAATCATGTGGATTAATATTACAGTACTAGCAAATATCATAATTTGATGCACTTTATGACTACTGTGTGATTAAAGTGTGAATGCCTTCATTGTCAATGGAAAAGTCTATGTTCAACACTTTAGTGAAGGTTGGTCTTCTTTCTACCCAACATTAATATGAATTACTTTCTGACATATTTTGTGTGTTTCAGTGACATTTAGCTTAGTCTGTACTGCAGAGCATCCTATAAAACTAAAATGGTTGCACTAATGAGAAATCACCATCTTTATTGTCATTTCTTGCCAGAAAATGGCAATTTCATATTTTTCTGAAAAAGGGCCAGTACAGTCTGGAAAGAGTGCTTTAACAATGCAGCAGTGAAAGTTAACCTAATAGTTTCATTTTTTGAACTCTAAAATGGCAAAAACCATAAAAGCAACAACTAAAATGAATCTCCCATATAACTAGATTAGAAAACAATGACATAATCAAAATGTCTTTCCACATGACCTTAAACAAAAGGTTTGAAAGGAAACTCCTTAATACTAGAAAGAGCAATAACAATTGACTTGAGAAGTCTATTTTCCTGAAAAACTGTTTTAAGAGAAAGATTTTATAAATTTCAACTAACAGTCATGTTAACTCTTCGGTCAATGAATGCCAAATGTATTCTGCATGGAAACAGGTAATCTTACCATTAACAGTACCATTCTACAGCCTTCATACAATCCCTTAAAAAGAAGGTTTTCTTTTGCATCTGTAGTGCAAAACAAAAGTATTAGCAAATGTACTGATCAGTCCAACCCATTCAGATCAAAGCCTGTAACACAGGCAATTCCATATTTTCTTTTATACATGGTCATCATTCCATATGGAGTGTATACTTAAAGGAAAAA